TAGTGCAACACGTCAACAACAAAAACAAGAGCTCAGCTCACCTGAAATGCCACCAAGGCGGCGCTCGGCACAGGACTTCCAAGACGTGGTTGCTGAATACGGATTCTCCCAAAGCGAAGGCGATTCCTTGACCTAGAAAAGTAAATTTACATTAAAAAATCTCACAATTACATCACCGAAATTCTAACATTGACCAAGCAAACAGCTTTCCCCAACTTACATGAGGACAGTGAAGAGTAATGCCATCTTTTTTACACAAGTAAGGAGTATTCTGCAACACAAAGCCAAACAAACCAATTGAAAAACATCGATTTGCACAGCTCTAAGCAAGACTATCTTATCCCAATTGCCAAACACCAGAAATCCGAACAGAAAAAGCACCAAAAAGCCATACCACTCGTTTCACGATCGCCAGAATCGAGACCAGGCAGAAGACTGCGACGACGATGACGACGAAGAGTGAGATCCTGGAGCTGTTGGAGTCGTCGGCAATTGAGGGGCAGATGGATTGGAAATGGGAGAGGAAGGGACGGTCGCGATCTTTGTAGGGAGGGCGACCGCGGCCGTCGTCGTCGTCTTGGGGCTGAGTGTCGAATATCAGAGGGGAGGAGTCCTCGTCGCGCTTCATTGGAGAAGAAGTGGCTCGAGCCCCCACCGAGATGGAGTGCCTGAGCTCCGCCATGGCACGCTTCGGACTGTAAGTCATGTTTCTGGCTCTTGGTTTGTTATATGTGGAGAGTGGGGTTAAAGCCAAAGCCGGTTTAGTTTTTTATTATAATTTGCACGTTGCGTAATTTTATACAAATTTAAAAAAAAAATTTAGACAACAAATGTATAAAAAAGAGAAAGAAATAAATTAATATTAAGCTCGTTATTTATAAAATTTAAATTTAGTTCTCTTGTCGAGACATTAAATAAAATCGCTTTAGTTTGAGATTTGCTCGTAGTTATAGTCCGTAACTGCAGTTACTCTTGTTCTTGAGCTTCTAAATTCTAACTTTAGAAAATTAAGGTAACATTTCAAATTGAAAATTGAATTGAACAAAATAATTGATTTGGTTCAATTTTGATTAAGTGGTTGTTCTCGAACTCATCATCAATTGAAGCTCAAGTCTAAAATTCAACTTTCCCCATGAATTTTATCACCAAACTTAAAGAAAATTACCCGTAAAATTTGAATAATATATATTAATGTATTTAATTGGGTAAACTTAATTCAATGGTTAGGCCAATAAAAGCAGTTTTTCAATCAATGTAATTTTTTATTGACAAAGAATAAATTTATTAAAACTTAAAACCTCTAATATAACTGTTTCCTATACAATCAAAATTAAAAACCTCTATAGCCAAAGTTGGAAGATAAAAATCCCAAAAATGTGGGTTGGCAATAGCGAGGCTCACATGAGTTAATGCGTCTACTATAAAATTAGCATTCTTATAAATATACTTCCAACTGATATGCTGAAATTCAGAAGACAACCATTTGATATCTTCTATGATAGGTCTAAGATTCCAAGAAGGCATCCAAACATCTTGCATCACGTGAATGACAAGTTTAGAATCCCCTTCCACCATCAACTTCTTCTCAATCAATGTATGAGTTATTTTCTTTTCCAATCAAGATTTTGTAATTAAGTCTAAATCCAACAACAACAAAATAAAGAAAATTAGATAGATCTAAAACAAGTTAAAAAATTGAATAAAAAGCAAATATTTTGCTCGACGACGTCGTACAGAAATGGGCATTTTCGGACATTTAAAACTATAGCCGTACACCGGTGACCAACCAAAGCCGCCACGCAGACAGAGCACCGAGCAGCTCGGCGCTCTACTAGCACACCACTGCCGCCACATGGCGGCCACTCGACCTCTTCCGCCATCCTTCCAAAAACCTAACTTCCCACCCGCGCCCAAATCTCCCGATCCCTCCTCCGCCGCTTTCCACATCAAAGCCTCCAACTTTAGGAAGAAGAAGCAGAACGGCAGCAACATCATCAGGTGCGAGATCAAGAGCTTCGGCCACAACCTGACCATCGAGCCGGACTCTCCGGTTCACGTCTTCCGCGCCGCTTCCGAACCCCAATTGTCAATGGCTTCCGATTCGGCGGTGAAGAAGGCGAAGAAGGTCTGCCTCTTCTACTGCGCCGAGACCAAAGCCCTCGCCGAGAATGTCGCTGCCCAGTCCGACTCCATCGAGCTCCGCAGCATTACTTGGAGGTGAGAGGTCCGACTGCAAGCGTGGCAATTGGGCATTTGCCTCGAAAATTTTAATTTTTAATTTGTGGAATTTGGCTCTGTTGTGCTTCAATTTTTGTAAATTTGGATTCTTTTAGGAAATTTGATGATGGGTTTCCCAACATTTTCATACCCAATGCTCATGGAATTCGAGGGCAACATGTGGCGTTTCTCGCCTCGTTTAGCTCCCCGTCGGTGATTTTTGAGCAGCTCTCTGTGATTTATGCATTGCCCAAGTTGTTCATCTCCTCATTCACTCTGGTGCTTCCATTTTTTCCGACGGGGACTTCGGAGCGTATGGAGGATGAGGGAGATGTCGCCACCGCTTTCACGCTTGCCAGGGCCTTGTCAAACATTCCCATTTCGATGGGTGGGCCTACTAGTTTAGTTATCTATGATATCCATGCCTTGCAGGTTTTTCTATACCACATTTAGTAAACAAATTTGCCTTCTCTAAGCTCTTAGTACTGGTTTGGTACTGAGGTTCTTTTATAAAAAGTGGGTATAAGAAAAACTGAGCTCAAAAATGTGTTTTTCCAAAGCGCAACGATACCAAACCAGCCCTAAGATGAGCAATGTGCAACGATTATCTGACCTTGTTGTTTTGGTTGTTTGTTGCGTGTTTAGGAGCGGTTTTACTTTGGTGATAATATCTTACCATGCTTTGAGAGCGGGATCCCTTTGCTCAAAAATAGGCTCCAGCAGCTCCCTGATTCCGACAATGTAAACTGTTTTCTCCTCCCCTGTCTGTTGAGTCCTAGGAGTTTAGATGTTGATAAGGAGTAATTATTCATTAAAAAAATTATTTCTGACATTGTATGCTGATTATCTTCCCAATTTAGATATCCATTGCTTTTCCTGATGATGGTGCGTGGAAACGATTTCATAAGCAGCTACATCATTTCCCTACGGTATGATATGTTTTATTCTCCCTAGTAACAAGGAGGATCTGTTACCTGTGCATGTTTTTGTGTCTAATTCTAAGAGTCATCAAAATATCATCTAAGAGTATTCATTAAAACAGCATAATTATGATAATTGCATTATTTTCGTCACGTTTGTTCTGATTGTTTTGACTTTAAGGATCTGACTATTGATGCCTGTGCAATACACCTCATAGATATCCATCTATAGTCTTGTGTAAAAGGCACAGCTAAACAGTGTTTTTTTTTCAACTAATGTTGTGCGATCTCCTTCACTGACACTTTCACGAGCCTTACATTTGCTGCATGACGGCTTGCTTTAACTATGTTTCTTGCAGACTGCCTAACCTTTAAAGAGTTGAATGCAGATTGTCTGTGCTAAAGTTCGGGAAGGTGACCAACGAATTGTACGTATTAAGGAAGGAGACCCTAGAGGACGACATGTTGTGATCGTTGATGATTTGGTTCAGTCTGGTGGTACCTTGATCGAATGCCAGGTATCCAGATCCTGAGCGAACTTCTTATTTGCTGTCAACTCTATAATATTGGCCGTAACACAATGAACAATGTAATTCAGATAAAATACGGCTATTCGGCATGGGAAAGTTTTAAACTTGTCCGTAGGTTGGGACTTGAACTTAACTACTTGGCCCGTAGATGGACATTTGACTTATGCTGCATTTCTTGCCACATTATATTCCTGCTTTAGTTTCATTTTCACAGAGGAAAAAGAGTCCTTCCATTTGTTCACAAGTTAATCTGAAATGCCATATTACGTTTTCATCTTGTTTTAGAAAGTTTTAGCCGCCCATGGAGCAGCAAAAATCAGCGCGTATGTAACACATGGGATCTTTCCTAATCGATCATGGGAACGCTTTCAAAGTGATTATGGAGGTATTACATGGTCTACTTATTACAATTTGGTGCTAACTTGTTCAAGACTCTCCGAGTACAATTTCTAATTCCTTTGTGCATTCCTTCCTTGTTTTTCCAACCAGGGCACCCGGAGCACGGGCTGACCTACTTCTGGATTACGGACTCGTGTCCAGTGACAGTGAAAGATGTGAAGAACAACCCGCCATTTGAAGTTCTTAGCCTTGCTGGTTCCATAGCGACTACTCTTCAAATGTAAGAGTAAGGTATGAGCACTAGATAGAAAGTGTCCTCTTTGGTTTTTGCTATGTTTTTGCCCCACCCTTTCTTCCAATAAAGGGGTTGAATGGATTATAGAGGAGTCGTCAGGCATAGAGAAAAGTTAGCACTTGAGAATCCGGGTGCGGCGAAGAATTTTTCACTTTGTTTAAGAGATATGATGGCCGGCTTTAGAACTTGGATAACAATAAAACCCAACTTCAGTCAGTCAGCCATAATGTAGCTCTAGGAATAGGGCAAGCGCGAATAACCGTTGATAATGTACAAAGTGGTTCTTGCGTACACTTTCTTCAAGTTGTGGATTTTCGTAGTGTAATTCAGCGATCCGAATCAGTTTTCTAACTTTTTCAAGGATTATTCATGCCAATTTTGCCCAGTCAATAATTTTTAGTCTTTTGATTTTGATTGTCCACATTTCATTTCAAAATGAGAATCCTGGAAATCTTCAAATCGTGTCTGTTTATCGTATATCGTACGTTTAAAAATCATTTTAAATACTTTTATTTAAAATTAAACATGAACAATATCTGACAAAAAACATTATATACTTTCATTTATACAAGCCTCTTTGACCAGAAACAAAAAGTCTATCCATACAATATTATATGTATGTCTTATATTTACGTGCAAAACAAACAAAAGCTTTTGCTATTTATTTATCTTTCTTAAAAATGCTGGTTCGTTCTGCGGTTACAAGTCAAAAGTAATTCGTTTTACTCAAATTAATTAATTAAAAAAAAGGTTTATGTTGCAGTTACCCGATCAGTTCATTCTTTGCTTTACAAGTCGAATCAAACGAGAAAGATTTACATGGCACATGCGCACCAAGCTTTTGATATATGCACACCTGTCAAGCTTTTGATAGTTGCACGTGATGAACACACAAAAACATTTACAACTCAAATGACAAATCAAAATTATGTAACAATTTAGCCGCCACACATACATTTTTGAAGTAGCCTTCCTTGGACCTACAAGATAACAACGACGTGTATCACAACTCACGTACAACGTATAACATTCAGATTGAAGTTTCAAGTGGATGCATGATAGGTTGATGAACCTTGTGATGAAAGCGAAAAATGAGCACAATTACCTCTTAGTTAGAGCAAAACGAAAACACATCCCTCCTCTCTCACACTTCGTTTGAAACTCTTATGTAATTCAAGACCTTTTTTAGAGCCTTTCCACTGTCAATAGCCTCTCTCGCTCTATCCAGGGCAGAGGTTATGTCTTCTGCACCATCACATCCAAGTAAGTGATCAATCATTCCAGCATTCAACACTATTCGATCATAAGCTGGTCCCCTTTGACCACGAAGCGCTGTTAAGCCCAACTCTATATTCTTCACAACCTGAAGTTGCAGAAAATGTAATTATTCGTCACAAAACGCTGGCTTGTAAAAAAAATGAGTGCAAAAACCTGTGTTTGTATGTGTGTGCACGCATGTGGGTGCGCGTGCGCATGTGGGAGAGAGAGAGAGAGAGAGAGAGAGAGAGAGAGAGAGAGAGAGAGAGAGAGAGAGTGCATGCCACAAGATGGAAGGAATTACCGATCTATCAGTTCTTGGAGTGTCGGTGGGTTCAAAGCCATAGTCTACGGCATTAACCTCTAGACTGAAGCTCTGACGTGAAACACCTGCAAACCAATCTTTCGAGTCAGTTTTGATGGTAGGATACTTTATGCAAGAATCTCAACATTTGTGGCAGCTACATGCATAACGCAGAGCTTTGAAACTACCATTACAAGTGTTTGAGAAAATGCAGAAAATAACATAAGGACTTGAACAAACCATCAACTTGACAAGAGGATGCAAAGCTTGTTGAACGAAACCCTGAACAGTAGTTTACAGGAAGTCCTTGTGATGAATTTACTGACCGCAATCTGGTTGTCATTGAGAGAGCTCCTTCCTCACCCTTCAGTAATAGTAAAGTTAGACGGTAGTAGTTTATTTGAATTACTCGGCTGATTAAAGAATAGTAAAGTTAGACTCTAAATTCTTCTATCTAAGATTTCAAAAAGGTTGATTAAAAATATTAAACACTCTAGTATTTGAAGCACCATCCTCTTCAACTGCATAATCAGCAAAGTACCAACCTTCACCACCAAGCCAGCATTGACACCTCTTCTTTTCATAAGCATTAAGAGCGGCTCCTCAAAACCTTCATGATAAAACCCAGCAACAATAGCTTCCTTCCCCCGGGCCTGTTGAGAAAGCAATAGATTTTTCATATTTCTGTATGGTGCACCCCAAATTTGTATAACGATGCTAGGGTACTAATCACTTTGATCAATAATTCGATTGGAGGTATTGCAAGAGTAAATTCGGTTATTTGCTGATGCCTGCTAAATTTTCAGAATTTAAAGTAGATAAATCAATTGCACGGTAGGTAAAGAAGTATTCTAAATGCACACTATTTTGTGTAGTTTCTAAATTTTACACAGATTTCTCGGCAGAAAAATGCCAGTCGAGGTTTCCATAAGAATAGAAAGGATGAGCCTTACGAACAAGTTATTAAAGAAAACAGTGATGTGGCTTACCTTCACGAATTGCTGAACCTTTTCGGTTGTCGCCAGTGGGGGACGTTTCTTAATATGCTCTCTCAACTTAACTAATGAATATCTGCAGAATTCAAACAAATATTATTATCAGTTTCATCCCGATTAGAGTAAATACTAAGCAGAGCATGCCAAAATGTTGGCTAGAGATTCACACAGAGAAGGGCGGGCTTCACGTTGACTTATATAGGCAAAACCAATGTCTTCATCCTGAAATAACAAGATAAAGAATTTAACCACAACCCGAAAGACATAAAACCAAAGGAATCAGTAACCATTGCAAGAATTATATGGGAACCTCAGATACCTCAAGAAGTACTTTTGCTTGCAACGGGGTTAAGCTCGTATTTGCCCCCATAAACTTAAGCATCTGTTCTTCAGTAACTCCTCCCTAAAAAAACAAAAACCTTATCAAACCGGCCCTATTAGTTTATGCTATCGGGTCAATTGGTTGAGCAGAGCTGAAAGCTCACCTTAGGTGGCATCCAATCCAAGCCGTGAAGCAAGCAAGATTCGGAATAACAAGATCGAACCGCAGCAACGAACAATGTGCTTCTAAAGAAACGCGTGTTACCATCGTAAGGTTCACCATAGTGAGTAAGTGATTTAACATCAACAATTGGAGTATCACCTAATTAATCGATCATTAAGCAAATAATTCATCCTCTGAAAAAAAAAATTAAGAAAAACTAATTGGGATTATTAATTAGACTAGAGCTTACCGAACTCATCATCAAATGCAAGGCAGTAAGCTTTCAGCTCACGGTCCGTTTCTCTGTTCATCCGCTGACCAATCAACAATGCCGAAAGCAACGCTTCACTCACACTATCGGACAACGTCGCATCATCCACTGATTTCAACGGAAGAATGTCTCGCAGCACGCCTTGGACTTCTTCGAATCCTAGGTGGCCGCCGGCGAGGACCTCCCGGAGGGCGCCGACCAATCTCATCTCACTCGCGCCGTTCCCGACGAATTGGGGGCCGATTGAGCTTCCCGCGCCCACCAACGACCCCTCCGGATCGGCGATGAACACCACGTCCGCCGGAAGAGCCCGAACCAGAAGCGGCCAGAACTGGTTCATCGCCCGGATCTCGCCTTCGCTCCACTGCGTCGCCTCCGGAAAAGCGTTGGCGCGAATCGACATAGCCGCGAAAAACGCGCCGAGCTGCGACTTCGACACCGGCTCCTCATCCTTCAGCTCGCCCTTGACCGATCTGTAAATCGTGTCGAGCACCTTGAAGGCCTGATCCTCGCTGAGAGGCTTGGTCTGTGTGGGGCCCGTGCAAACCCTAGTCTGAGCGTCCAGCACCGTCTGATTCGGCTTCGGAATACCGGACCTCCGAAACGAAGATGAAATCGTCGGGTTTCGGGTATCGTATTCCGGGATGTTTGAATTTTTTACGGTGACGGACTCCAACACGGATTTGGTGGTTAAGGTTAGTTTTCTTCCGGTAAGGCGGTGGCCGTTATATGCGGGGAGGTTGAGGAGTGTTTGGGTGAGAGGCTGAGTGAGGCTGCGATGCTTAGCGGTGGTGGAAGTAGTGGAGATGGGGGTGAAAAGAGAAGGTTCTTGATTGAGAAGAGCTTTCATGGTTTGCTTTTCTTCGCTGCTGTGTTTTCTTCTTCCTCCTTCTAATGGTGCTGGTGCTGGTGCTGGTGCTGGTGCTGCTTGGGAAGAACGCAAAACTGAGATAGTGCGGTTGGGTATTGATGTTTTCTATGCACTCCAAACCTTTTGTTTGTCATTTATTATTTTAAAATTTCAACGTTCGGACGTGGTTTCTAGAAAGGACAAGGATTGTCTACTCTGCTTGCTTGTTCCGTGTCCTTCCATTCCCTCTGTTTGTGATCACAATTAAATCACGTCAACATTTTATATTACTATTTATTTTTATCTTATTATCTTAAAAAAACAATATAAAATGTTGACGTAGCTTAACCATGATCACACAAAACAAAAGAGCACGAGAACAAGAAGGGCAGACAATCCTTGTCCTTCTAGAAATGCAAGAGAATTTTTTTCAGACTTCTTTTATGAATTCTCTAACACTTTAACATTCAATGTTAATTTTCGTGATAATATTATAAAATATTGTATAAAAATATAAGGTGGCTAAGAATTTATAGAGAGCCTTTAGCTGTTTTTTTTATTTTTTTTTTATGAATACATTGATATTTTTACACTAAAGGGAGAGGGAGTTCGGCTAAGTCACACAATGGGCAAACCTAATTTGGTATTGAATTCGCCATCCACGAGATTCAAACCTAAGACCTCTCACTCCCAAATGAAAAGAAATATCATCAAACCGCAGTACTGAACAATGTTTTAAAAGGCAAAGGCGTGGACGAGACATTTGATTGACAGCTCCCGCCTAGATGAAAGCCTTAAGACGTGAGGCGACCTAATTTTTTAATACATATTTTATACATATAAAAATATAATAGTCACAAACAAGTTTAACTCACATAACCAAGTTTAATCAAACATTCAAATTAATCAATTTCAAACATCTACTTAAGTAAGTGCCTATTTATATGAGAGTTTTGGATAATATTTAAGTGGGATAGGTAGTCTTTAAAAAAGATAAATAAGAAGAAAAAAATATAACGAATTAAAAAAAAAAGAATAATATAACATTAAGAAAATAATAATCCACATAGAAAGATGTTTTCATTTCTACGTCAATCATAAGAATATTCAGAAAAATAATAAAAACAAAAACAAAACAATGCTTATCTAATATACATCTAGTATATGAGAAAATAAATATTAAAAATAAAAAGTGAACATAAAAGAGATAGTGGGATAATAAATGTTATTGAAGTGGGATTAGTTTAAAAAAAGTGAAGATAATGGGGTAATAGATGTGGCAAAGTAGAGTCAGTTTAAACATTAAAAAAAAAATTTAAAAACACCAACTCAGCCTAAAAAACCTGGTCGTCTTCTTCATATTCTTCATCTTCTTCATCTTCTTCGTTGGTGTTCATGACTTACAACTCAAAACAGTTTTGCAACTCTAAAAAAAAATTAGATTTTTGAAATTTAAAAAAAGAAAAAGGGACGCCCAATCGACACCTCAGGCACGCCCAAAGAAACCTAGGTGTGTATTTTGCCGAAAGAAGCCTACGCATGTATTTCGTCCCTCTGACCACCAGGATCAGAAATCGATCGATAGTTGGCAACTGGGTTTCCTCCTCCCTGGCTATGCTACATCCAGCTCGCTCACGATCACTTCTCCTCCTCTTCCGACGTCCTTCTCACCGTCTGCTTCGCCGACAAAGTTGTAGTGAGCCCACGTTTTTTCTCAAGGACAATCAGATGCATGGACACAAGAGAAAGCCACCGTATCTCGTATCTGACACGTTGAGGATATGGATACGGATACGTGTGGATACACACCTGATACGTATCGGAGTGAAGGGATACATTTAGGACTGATAAGATACGCGTATCGTATTGTCGAGATATCAGTATCCTACTTCTTGGATAAGTTTCAAACTAAAATAGGAGGATAATCAGAAATAATAATAATAATAATCACAATAAATCCGCACATAATTGTGATTGATCGAAGCTAGCTAACTGAAATCACATTAAAATCGGAGGATATTAGAAAGAAAAAAATTCGGATTTAACTCTCGAACCTCATAAATCATTCAGCTTGGGAGACTTTCACGAATCACCATTGACCGTCATCTGTCGTCTCCGTCGTCTCCATCTTCTCCATCTACAATGCTCCATCGTCTCATTCGTCTCTGTCTGCAACTGTTCGTGAGTGGTGAGCTTTCATTTTCACTTTGTTAATAGTTTCAAATCCGATGCTTTCCTGATCTTCCTCCTCAGCTTTACTGATTCAATGACTCCATAGTCCATTCGAAGCTTTAATCTGATTCCCCGAGGACAAAGCCCATCTCTGAAACTAAAAACTTAATCTGATTCGAAGCCTTTTGCTTTTCTCAAACTAATATTACAATATTACAATAATATATTATAATATCCATACCACTACTCCATAGTCCATTCGTAGCCTTAATTTGATTCCAAGTCTTTTGCTTTTCAGTTTTTAACTTTTTTGTATTATTATAATATTATTGTATTTTACGTATTATAATATATTATTGTGTAGTGGCATGGATATTCTTTTTACTTTTTCAAGTTTTAAGACTAATTGCTTGTTAGATGCAATATCTTTCTAACTGTTTAGAGTTTATTGAAACAGTTAATTAGAATTAGATGCCTCATTTTAGATTTTTCTAAATTAAACATCTGTTACTTTTCAACTTTTGATTAAAGTGCTTTTACTTTTAATTAAACTTTATATTCCAGGTAGATTCTTAATTTAAGTATTTTATAAATTATTTAAATCCATTTCTATGTAAAAAAAAATGCACTCAATAATATTCATTAATTTATTGCTATTTTTATGGAATCTCATCCCTTCCTCAATTTAAGGATTCAATTATATCTACTGGGGTTCAAGATTAATTGGATGAAATATAGTTTTTCCAATTTCCAACTCAACATTTTATATAGATTATAAAAAAAACAAGAGCTCGTTTATAATTAAAATTGAGATGTAGACTAGACTGCCTAATTTCATGCAACTGAAAATAAATTTGAATTTTTTAACAACTACTTATAGTAGAAACGTGAACTAAGAGTTTTCACATTTTTTTTATTTAAAATGAGTCCTTAGTCCAATAATTAATTATTAAGAGTTGACAAAATATTTTTTAGTGCAATGTTTTAATGTGAAAAGTTATCTTTTTTTTGGGTTACACAACTTACACATAACGTACCATAAGTTTTGTACGTACCAAAGTAAGGATAATACAACGTACTAATAACTTGGTACATACTAAATAAAGAATTGCATAACGTACCAAAAGCAATATTTTATAATGTACCAAAATACTAATATGTACCCAGATTAAATTTATATAACGTACCAATAACATACCAAATGATTGGTACGTTATATTTAATATATCTGTTTGGTACGTTATATTTAATATATGTGCATGTTATATTTCATAATTGTATGTTAATAGGATGTTTATGTGTTTTTAGAATTTAAAACAACAAATTATTTGAATAAGAAAAATTCATTTTGAACGAATTATGATAAGATAAGCTAGGAAGTTTGTGATGATTTTAGAATATTTGTGATATTATTTTCTGAACTAGTTGGTTAATTAAATACAATAAAAATCATAATTTTTAATTAAAAATTAGTAGAAGAATGTTTGATCAAAAGTTTAAAAGTTATAGATGTTTGATTAAAAAAATTCAAATTTGAGGCATCTATGTCAAAATGCCCCTTATTGAAATAAATTTGAACTTGAGTAATAAATTTGAATGCTTATTTTATAATGTTTTAGATATATTTATTTATTTATATATATTTTTAATTGCCATATCCCAGACATATCGTGTCTTCGTTTTTAGAAATTTGACATGCCCCATCATGTCATATTCCCGTATCCGTGTCCATGTCCATGCATTGTAATAAATTTGCCCATTTTCCATACGTACACTACGCATTTTCACGGCGGCCAAACGGTATTTAAGCTCAAATATGATAAATAAAACGAGTTCAACAAGTGCTAGATTGTTTATAGCTAGTTTCTGCCGGAGATTACTACGACTACGACGTTGTTCTTTGCTTCTTCCCAAAGAAGTCTCGTAACCTTGCAGGAAAAGTATTCAATAGACGTCAACTGTTTAATATTAATTAATTAGCTGTTAAATCCCCATATTTTACTTAACTCTTGTTTGGTTATTTCCTTTTCGATACTTAAATGCTTGAGCATTCAATTTTTATGATTTTCCCCGCTTGATTGTTTCTGTGGCTTAATCAACAAGTAATGCAGTGAGGATTACTGGGATTTTGGGTTGTTTTTCTAGCCTCTAGGCCAAACTTTCTTTGTTCCCAATTTGTTTGGTTTTTCGAAGATTCGTAGATTTCATCTGGCAAACTCTTTGAATGATTACGACTTAACATGTTGCAGGAGGAGCACTATGTTTCCAAGCGGCAGTATGTTTGGCCTCACGTTTCATGCAACCCGCGACTTCCTTCCAAGGGTACCAGAGTGCTTGTCAGCTATCGAGACTGTGTGGGCGAGGCAAGCTGCGCAATGCTTTTTTTTTTTTTTTGCTACAAGAACTCACAATGCCCTTGTGTTAACTAAGATCTTGTTTGCAGGTCCAGAAGTTTGCGTTGCGATTTTTGTCAGTCGATGAGGCAGAGAGATTTATGATCTCTTTGAAGGTGAAATCATTACTGCAAACAAAATCCAGTGTGTTAGTAGATGAAATATCTTTTCCTTTGTATTGCAATGGTAATAGAGTTACGATTGGTTTTGTTTTTCAGGGGATCTTCGACATTGAACCTCTTAATACTGACATGGAATCTGAAGTTTCAGCACAGTGTGAGTTCGTTTATTCGGCTAGGCCACCCCTCGACCAGTAAATACAAAACCTGCAATCTCCTAAATTCTTCGTTTCCCCTTGAGCTGCGATGGTGTTTTGCTGAGTTTCCAGGGTTTGTACACGCTTTATCATGACTCCGGTTCAGACTTATACCACTCAAATACTGCCAAGCTTCGGCAATGCAGGTGAGCACTACTCATATGCTCATCCGATGATGCATATTCATAACTTTCAACAAAACTTTCCAGCCGTTCGTCCAGGTTTCACCACATAGCTGAATGACTATCGCGGCACCGTTGAACAAGGTAAATTATATTTATTTTTAGACAATTAAACAAGGTAGAATGTACGCCTTTGCAGATAACCAGAAATTTTACTACCATTAATCATGATTGAATGTACGCGCAGCTCAATCAACTGTATCAGAGTCTGTCAATCTCAACTCCCATATCATGCCTCCAAATTTCACCTCATGACTTGGGAACTCTCAACCTGTTTTTGAACAAGGTACATTCGCGACCTTAGCAGTAAACCGAAATTTTATTCAACGGAAAATTTGTCCTTGATTGAATGATTCAATGGCAGCACAATCATTTGTATCACAAGAAGTCATTCTCATATCCCAACTCGCAGTAACTATTTCTAACACCTCAAAGTTTCTCGTCATAGACAATTTTCTTCGTCAGTAGAACAATGTGATTCCATGTGATGAAGTATTAACACAAATGTTTGTTATGTAGCAGAGTTACAGGGGAGATGCTTCCCCCCAAGGTAGTAGCTTCACTTTTCTTTTTTTCTTCTCTGAGAATTATTGCAACGCATGAAATGGTAATTTGTTTCTAATTATTTATTTCTTCCCTGTTATTTTCCAGATATGTTGAGTAACATGGAGAGAGTTATCAGTGAAATGGGGGTTGATACGACTCTCTAGTTTTATTTCAATTTTTTTGTATATAAAGCTTTAACCATTTCATTTTATTTTATCTGCTTTTTCTTCTCTTTTAATCATATGGTTTAGGTTGAAAGTTGAAATTCAAGGTATTTTAAAAAAGAATTCTGGAAGGTTGTCATTAGTAATACATTCTAATGATATATCAGTCGTTTGTGAGTAAGAAATTTTATGTTTAACTTCCATATGTGGTAAGTGTTGGAATGAGTTGACTTTTGTGTAATTAGGGGGATTTTATTCCCGTTTGAGTTCGTATAATTAGAGTAAATATTATTGCACATTCTTACCTTATAAATCAAGTCAGTAATATATATTTGCCTCCTTGAGAAGAATAATATCAAGAATTGAAACTCCAAAATAAGCCTAAATTAACATGGTATCAGAGGCAGGGAGCATGTCCCATTGGCCCAGTGCGATGATGGTGGGTCCCTTGACCCTGCGTGTAGGGTGAATCCTCCTAAGTTGGGGACAATATCGTAGTATGTTGGAAGTGGGTCTTTGGCCTGTCTCTTTGATAATTTGACAAGATACAAGTGTTGTAACATGAATGAATTGGTAACCCCGTGATTGGCCATGTTGTAATTATTAAGTTGGAGATAACATCGATGTTGTTAGAAGTGGGCATTTGGCTCTCTCTCTCTCTCATAATTCGACAAGATGCACATATTACAACATGAATGAATTGGTAACCCCGTGATTGGCTTCGCTAAGGTTACACGGAAAAATCAATCAGCAAATAAGTCAGTCAACAAGAACAGTAATTGTTACAAAAATACAACAAGGTTCTTCCAAGCCAAGCCACAATTGATGTTTAAGAATTAAGAGCTGAAACATGTGCTCCTAGTCAGTTAGATAAATTTCCGACAATTTTTCCGTATCTCTCCTTGATCTTCAGTGAGAACATTGATTCTCCCCATCTTAATCATGGCGTTTGCAAATGCCCGAGCAAAAGAATCAGACCTAGCCAGTTTCTCCACCACCCCTCTGGTGCGAGGGTCGATCACCAAAACCTGATCCGACTCCATCAATCCTCTCCCCTGCATCAGGCTCTTGTAGTAGTGATTGTCCAGGACGAGCGGTGTGGTGGGGTCTGAGTCAACAGCCCTCTTTTTAGCCTCCTCCGCGGGCAATGCGTTGGGTGCAGGGCACTGTTGAGCAAGCTGAGCCGCAAACACTTCGTTTAGTGAAGGGTCTTTCGGCTTACCTGGTGCGAAATTGTACATCCTGTAATCGAAGAAGCTGCAGTGGACGGTGCCGATGGAGTGCGCTCCAGACAAGGCAACCATTTCCTCAAGGCTCAAGCCTTTTCTGGAGAAGAAGTCTATGAGCTCCTTCAGAGGTGTTGTGGGAGAAGGAAGTATGACGTCGGAGGCACGGGAAGTGCGGCTGTCGCGGCGTCCAGCAGGGACTTCGTAACGAGGCAAACCGGACAGAGCCACAGCTTCCCGTGAGGCAAAAGCTAAAATGTCGGCACATGAGACGGTTCCCGGGCACTCCTTTTCTACCCTAGCCTTGATCTGATCAATGACTTCTAAACCTCGGACCCCGAAGCTGGCCGGTGATAGCATCTCTACGGGCTCGCCAGAGGGTGTGACATCCAGCAGAAGTGACGCATCACAGCCCTGTATGTACATTCATGAATATATTTTAAGTAATAATCACAATTTGACATGCATGACCCTAAACGGCATTGCCACAAATGATATATTACATGTAAGGAATCAAGGCGTTATCCCAATAGGCACAGTAAACTGTATTTACCTTGACAAAGCAATCGTGGAAGAAGAGGCGAATGAGGGCAGCAGGAAGCTTTCGGTCCTTCTCTACAGCCTTGGCCACAACGTCAATCACAATTTTCTCCAAATTGGGACATTTCCGATTGTAAAATCCAACATGCAACCCGTTCCCCGGGTTGTTCACATCTGCCGAATAAGCAACGACGATCATGGAGCACAAGGTGACGGCAAAAACCGGCGCGGCAATTAAACGACTACCCATCTCCCCGGTAGAAGATCGGTGACTGTTTGTGACTTGAAGTGGCACAACCTTAGAGAGAATTGTTTGGTTTCTTTCTCTTTTTGTGCCACAGTCACGACGGAGACACGATGCGGGGCTGTGTTTATATACAAAGTGAGTGACTTAGGTTTGCCTTTGTTTTACCTCGTTATTCGTGGTTAAAATTGCAATACTATAGAAAGATGGTTTTTTTTTTTTCACCATTTGTTCGGCTCTTTTTGATTAATGGATACTATATCGTTTATAGTCAAAATTTAACTCCTAAATTTAAAAATGTTGTCATTTATAGTCAAAACCTCATATCAATTAAACGAAGTACCCTCAAATTGAAAATCAAAAGCCACATAGATAGGCTCTTTCTGTCTGTTCCTTTTTGTTCTTTTTTTTTTCTTTTTTGTGGTTTGATTATTTTCATATCCCAACCCGAGAGCATGAGAAAATATTAAGAGGTATTCATTCTGATGGAAATTAAGTCGATCAAATTGTCAAATTAATTTCTTAATTGAGAAACCTACAAGGCTACAATCAAGACGACCATGATGAAAATTTCACATAACTACAACTTCTGAATAGTTTTCTACAATAGTTAATTGGTATTTTTCAAAAAATTTCATAGAACTATAACTGATGCATTTTTTTAGCAAATGATATTATAATATTTTGCAAGTTTTTATTTTGATGGAAACTGCCATTACATGTTCTCATGCATTCTTCCGCATATGAGTCCTTAAACATAAGGGTTACCCTCATTACGTATTTAATTAAGTGATAGAATTTGAGCATAATATTTAGAAGTAGTGAAGCAATTTTAACACCATGGATCTGAAAAAGAAGAAAAGAAAAAATGAAAAAACAAAGGAGACAGAGGAAGTTCTTTGCGGCAAATCGGCATTCTCCCCAGAAAAAGGGCGTTGGAAGAGGACCATATATGTTTTTTGCCCCTTTATAAATTTCTGTGCTTTTTATTTTAGAAAAAATAATGAAAATGATTTGAAGACTTTGGGTTTTAATCAAAAGGACAAAAATGTGTTGTAAGTAAATAGTACCAGGAGTGACTTTTTAAGGTAAATATGTCTTTTTTGTTAAAAATGAACAATACTGAAGTGTTTCATTAAAACTTTTTTTTTCCTCTAAAAGATGGGATATAGTGGTTGACCGATCATTCCCATAATCTTATTAAAATAAAAGGAGAAATACAAACAAAGAGAACATAAAGCCAAACCTCGTTGAGGAAAAAATATAGCAAGTAATTAATACGGCCAGGAAATCAAAAATCAACCCCACGTACAAAGAAAACATATAGTAAAAATCATCTGAAATGATATTTGGTAGAAGCAGAAATATCATGAAAGCAGAAGCTGCACATGAAGGAACATTAGACCACCAACAATATGCAGCATGATTTGCACCAAAGTTAGCTAAGGCCTAAGCCACACAGTTGTCATCGCGAAACATATGGGAAACAAAAACACGCATATGCCTAATACGCCATAGGCAATTGCTCCAATCAACACGCATATAGCCCACACGGCCTATAGACTTGAAAGACCCATCAGTATTTACCTTGATCCACCCCACCATAGGAGGTTTCCATACAACAGGGATGAAACTCTAGTCAATCTTAGTTAGCGTTGCATGCCTACAATAATGAGTAATGCCCTATCATTTATTTGTGCCGTCTCTCTAATAGAGGTGCGAGCCCACCAACACATGTGGGCCTCATTTCTATTAAAAAGATGATACAAACGATAACATAACTAGATGATAAGAGTAACGTCTTTATTAAGAATAACTTCAAAGTTTCTTTTTCTGGTCAATTGAGTCCTTCTAAATTACATTCTTGATCAATTCCTGTTTCATATATTAAAAATAAAATCTTTGGTCGTGACATGTACGACGTCGTTGTGCATGACTAAACTTGCAGGGAAAGTGCCCGAGTGGATTCGATACACTACATGGATATTATGTACACAATTACTTTTTACACCATATGGATATACACAATTGGTCATAATGTTAGTTAAAGGTTCTGCAATTTTTCCTTATCTCTCCCTCATCTCGAGTGAGAACGTTTGTTCGCCCCATCTTGATCATGGCCTTGGCAAACCTTCGACTCCAAGCTTCAGAATCCGAGGCCAATGTCTTTACCAACGCGCTGGTGCGAGGATCAGAAACCATTATCTGATCCGACTGGAGCAAGGTTTTCCCTTGCAAAAGGTTCAGGTAGAAGTTGTTGTCCAGAACAAGTGGTGTTATTGGATCGAAGTCCACGGCCCTCTTTTTCGCTTCGTCTGCAGGCAATGTATTTTGTTTCGGGCACTTTGTGGACAGATCAGCAGCGTAGGTTGAGTTGAGGGCAGGGTCTTGGGGCTGAGATGTGTTGAAATTGTAGAGTCTGTAATCAAAGAAGCTACAATGGGCCACCCCGATGGAGTGTGCACCGCTCAACACAACCAGTTCGTCGAGGGTGATGCCTTTTCTGGTGAAGAAATCTATGATATCGTTGAAAGGTGTTGTAGGAGCAGGGAGGCCAACATCGGAAGCACGGGAAGTACGACTGTCGCGGCGTCCAGCGGGGACTTTGTGGCGGGGTAGACCAGCCAGAAAAACAGCTTCCCGAGCAGCAAAGGCTAGTATGTCGGCGCAAGAGACGGTTTGCGGGCACTCTTGTTCTAGCCTGGCCTTGATCTCATCAATGAGTTCAAAACCTCTAATGAAGTCATTTCCTTGTGCTTTTTTCTCTACAGGCTCCTTTGAGCGTGTGGTCTCCAACAGAATTGAGGCATCGCAGCCCTGTAAATTGTAATTGTTAAAAGCCTCAAGGGGGTGAACTCAACCAATCTAGACAATAAAATACTACGCGATATTTGTACCATCTTAACTGACTGACTACGTTTTGTACGAGAATCGAACATGTAGGTCTCAATGTAGGTGGATCTCGTCCCTATTAGCGAGATGTCTGGCATGTCAGTTGAGATGATATAAATAGTACAATGCTGTGCGTACCTTGACAAAGCAATCATGGGAAAAGAGGCGAATGAGGGCACCGGGGAGCTTTGGATCTTGCCGGTTAGCCTCGGACACGATGTCAGCCACAATTTTCTCCACATTCGGGCAACTGCGACTGTAGAAACCTACATTTAAGCCGTTCCCAAGGCCTTTTCCAGCTGCCTCTGTACAAGGAGCGATGATGACGACGATAACGATGCTTAAGGTGAAGATGATTGTCTCGATGATCATTAGACGACGCATAATGTCTATGTGTGTTAATTAATTAATGCGATTGATGGCGATTAGTGACTAATGCTTTTCTTAATTAATTGCAAATGTCACAATCAAACTACGTACCGGTGAATCATGGATGGTTGCCTGCCTTCCTTGGCGAGAGGGTGGTAGAGTGACAAGTAGGAATTTTGTCCACCGCTGCTTCTTCTGTTGCCCCCTCGCCGGTCACAAGATGGCAGCAAAGTCCAAAAGTAGCAGAGGTTTTCTTACGTTGGCGGGAAAATAGCAAATGTTTAGGGCTCAAATATTTTCCTGTAATTAGTTAACAAACATTCACAAGTTGATTTTCTTTCTATTTTCTTGTTGTATACTTGTTTCACAAGTTTCCTTTATTTAAGGCTTTTTATTCCAAATGATCTCTGAAATAGTAACAACTTATCATTTTGGTCTTTAAGATTTAAAATCAATATACATGGTTTTTTATATTGTTCACCGTCAATCATTGTGGTCTTCATGTGAAAAATCTTCAATTGAAGAAACCACTAGTTCAAGGGGAGGGGTTAATTTGACAAAGATACCCTTAAATTAACGAAGATTTCTCATATAATGACAAAAATGATTGACGATTGACAATCTCAAAGATCACTTATATCGATTTTAAATCTCAGGGACCAAAATGAGAAGTTATGACATATTCTAATTAATCTAATATCTAAACTATAAGAATGAAGATTTGAACATGAGTATATTGCTCTAACCAACTTGACTACATCGTCTACAATTCGTCCTTTTATTATTGTACCATGACTGTGACTGAGGTAAACGCATGCTCCAATGAAATATATTATAGATTTTTAAACAAATTATAATTGACAAACTTGACAGTAACTTGGCGAATTAAAATTGCCAGCCTGCTTCCTCCCTCCCAAAGACGCATTGACTTCTTGCATCAAAGTCTCTAAATATGTTTTCTCTTAGCGGGCACATAACTCCGAAGAACTAATCCCTAACTCCATGATTACCTACCCTAACCATCCACAATTAAACGTTAATTAGCTCTTCGTATCGCTAGCTAATTTCCAGTCGAACGACACCAGATAAAGGTAGAAGTAGATACGAAAAGGACACACCAGTGCTTAGCTAGCTCTTAGCAGAGTTCTCAAGGTATATAATTCTGATTAGTGACAAAATTAAAGCATAAGCATATATTTAATTGCTCAAGAACAATATACTGTTTCAGAAATCCAGAACATGGACGGCCGCGTGCCCCCCCCCCCCCCCCCCGGTTAATTAAAAACAAAGAAAGAAAAAAGTTGTCTACTATTTTAACGGCCAAGAACAATATTCATGACTGTGACAAAAGTTGTGTACTATTTCAACGGCCAAGAACAATATTCTTGAGCAATACACTGTGACAAAAGTTGTCTACTAATTCTGGTTAGTGACAAAATTAAAGCATAAGCATATATCTAAACGGCCAACCATGCTTTACAGACGGCAAGAACAAAGCTGTCTACTATTTCATGACTGTGCATGAGCTACTGACTCACAACTTTTATTAATAATAAACTGCATAATAATGTCATAAGTTACAATGAAGCAACAAGCTAGTTCTCTCTGTCTATATCGATCGGTGGTTAATCTTGAACCGTCAGATCACATCTGTTATTAGATTTATAAAGAGTGACATTATTTGTAGACGTGAGTTAGGTCAGTTAATCAGAGAGTATGCTTACTCGTTTGTATTTAAGATTAAAATAGTCTTGTAACAAAATATCACACTAGTTATGGAAGGCTTATTAATTGAAACGGTGATTTTCGTCATCTTGAGACTTATTTTGTCTTTGCCCCATGAAACTATGATTTTCTTCCATTCCATCAAACAAAAGTTAAATTAAAATGTAGTATGGACATTTTGTTGTTACTCAAGTAAAGATAAGCCCCATGCTTGACAACGTGGCACTTACATGAGAATTTTGGTTGATCACCACGTATTTACCAAGCGGCTTGGTAAATAAGTAGTGATAAAAAAAACAAACTTTAATTTAGCGGCAAGAAAAATTGGAAAAACAAATTAAGTGAAAGGGAAGGAAGAAATTTAGGCTTGTGAATTATAAAGAGTGACATTATTTGTGGACGTGAGTTAGGTCAGTTAATCAGAGAGTGTGCTTACTCGTTTGTATTTAAGATTAAAATAGTCTTGTAACAAAATATCACACTAGTTATGGAAGGCTTATTAATTGAAACGGTGATTTTCGTCATCTTGAGACTTATTTTGTCTTTGCCCCTTGAAACTATGATTTTCTTCCATTCCATCAAACAGAAGTTAAATTAAAAAGTAGTATGGACATTTTGTTGTTACTCAAGTAAAGATAAGCCCCATGCTTGACGACGTGGCACTTACATGAGAATTTTGGTTGATCACCACGTATTTACCAAGCGGCTTGGTAAATAAGTAGTGATAAAAAAACAAACTTTAATTTAGCGGCAAGAAAAATTGGAAAAACAAATTAAGTGAAAGGGAAGGAAGAAATTTAGGCTTGTAAATTCAATCCTTAAGTTCAGTCGACGGTCAATGTTCATACTACTTTTTAATTTAAGACTTGTTTGACAAAGTTGACTAAATTTGGTGAAATGAGACTAAATGTAACGAAAATAGCAGTGTCGAGAGACAAAATAAGTTTAAAATGAGACCAAATGACAATTGCAAGGAAAATCAATTGATAAGCCTTGGTTGGAACGGTGCACATATTCATTCGGTCTAGCAGGCGCAGCACCCAAAATCCAAAAAGGTTCCGCGTTTATCTCAGCATGACAGTCCAAATAGCTGGTATATGTTGCAGTTGAACATGAAATAACTAATATAACCAAACTCCCCCCAAAACCAGACAAAAATCTGATGAAAGTCATAATTTTCGTCGATGCTTACAAAAATATGAACTCAGCTGTCTTTGCAATTACATCTCTTTGTGTTAATTGAGAAACAAACAAAAATAAACTGTGCTTTGATTCTTTGAAACTATGTTTTCGCCCGTCTCTCTGAAATCTTGACAGTCCACCATCCCACAGCCATGGCATCCCCCCATCTCCTCCTTCCATGCATGCTCCTCTCCCTATTTCTTAGTCTATTTTCTGCAGTTTTCGCTGCCGATGCATCCATCAGGTCTGCTCTCGTAAACCCTTTGAGTTGCTCTGCGAAAATCATGACATGTAACGCCTCGCTCTACCACATCAACATCGATCTGAAGGTAGAAGAAATTGCCACTTTGTACACCGTGAATCCATCCGAAATCAGACCTATAAAGCACAACAAGAAGCAAGATTACCTGATAAGTGTGCCTTGTTCTTGCAAAAACATATCCGGCACTGTTGGATACTTCTATGACACGACCTACAAGGTGAAACAATTTGACACGTTTTATAATGTGTCGACGAAGATTTACAGCGGGCAGCCTTTGTATATCGAAGAAGAGATACCGCAGTTTAAAACAGACGCTGATTTTCCCATCCATCTCCCATGCGGTTGCGTACAAAGCCAGTCTCAGATTGTGGTGACATATACAGTTCAGGAGCATGATACACTGTCGGATATTGGCACGCTACTGTCTGCGAAGATTGAAAACATTGAAAAAATGAACAAAAATATGACCGAGAATCCTTCATACATAGTTGTGGGTTGGGTGTTGTTTGTCCCCATGGAAAAGAATGGACTCAGAACATCAAAGCCAGGTGAGAGCTCTCTTTAAGAACTTCTTGAGTTGATTTCATTTGACTGAAATATCAAAAAATCTGTGTCCACAGTTTGAAAAGTAAAGATTCAATGTTTCTGTGTGTTAAGATGTCGGAGAGACGGACTGTCCGAGCACAGTTTTATACAAAAGGCTTTGATGCAATTAGCAATGGTGGAATCACTCATGATATGTTATTCTTTAGTTTTTTGGGGTTTTTGATATCTGACTTTTACATTTTTCAACAAAAAATAAGTTCTGAATCAAGTCGAAATTTAGTAGAAATCAGATTACGTATGTTTGTAATCTTACATACGTAAGTTTATACAAGAATTTCAGAAAATTCACAGATTATTTTCTGTCCGAGTTGATCCATGTTCCCTTTGTTTTGATCATCAGGATTCAGACACAAGTGGTCAATATTGGTTGCAATTTTATTAGCTGTGACATTGCTTTCAATCAGCACATTGATCTTTATCCTTTATCGGAGAAGAAAACCGGAACAAAATGTGGAAGTTCCAGATAAACCTGTATCGACAAGCTTGAAAAGCTCGAAAAGCTCGGCTCCTCACCGATCCTTGTCGTTGCATAATCAGTTGCTTCATAAAGAAAACATGGGAGGTCAGATAAAACTCCAGCAGCATCTCTGTAATGTAATAATTTGTGCATGTTAGTATGCCTGAAAGAGAGAAATTTCTGCTCATGACAATAAATCTACATTGTTTATTTCATAGATGTGGCAATTTTTGAATCAGACGGACTGGTCATATTCAGCCTTGAGGAGATTGAGGAGGCAACCGGTTACTTCGATGAAACTAAGAAAATCGGAGAGGGTGGATATGGTAGCGTGTTCCTCGGAGTAATAAGGGGGAAGGTATGGCAAGAACCCCACAAATTTTCTCCGTTTCTACTCGAAAAAAGCTATGAAACTAAGCTATAAATGTTCAACTTTCAGGAGGTTGCCATAAAGAAGATGAAGTCTAATAGTACCAAAGAATTTTTTGCAGAGCTAAAGGTCTTGTGCAAGATCCATCACATTAACGTGGTGAGCAATCATTTCGGAATAAATTGACCTCTAACACGGTGCGAAAGGAAGTGCTTTTAGTCTAATCACTTGTTTAAAAATCTGTTTTAGGTGGAGCTTTTGGGGTATGCCAGTGGAGATGACCACCTCTACCTGGTCTATGAGTATGTCCAGAATGGATCGCTGAGCGAACATCTTCATGATCCTTTACTTAAAGGTACTCAGATCATTGCGCGCACACGCCTCTCTAGTGTTTATGTGCGAAGCTAACCAAACGAATTAAATCAGGTCATCAGCCACTTTCTTGGACTGCAAGAACACAAATTGCAGTGGACGCTGCAAAAGGTATTGAGTACATTCATGACCACACAAAAGCGCGATATGTGCACCGTGATATAAAGACTAGTAACATTCTACTTGACGAGGGGTTCAGAGCAAAGGTATACCTGAAACATGAATCGTTATATCATTTCTGTTAAAAGATAGAATAAGTTCTTTCTTCTAATTAGTAGCTTAAAATCCATTTTCTGTAGGTAGCAGATTTTGGCTTGGCAAAGCTTGTTGGAAGAACCAATGAAGAAGATGTTTTCGCAACACGGCTGGTTGGAACACCGGGCTATCTTCCCCCAGAGTAAGCTTCGTTCGAGTTTACCTGCACATGGAAGCAAGTTTGCCCTAGTTTTTCATGTATCTGACTGTGTATGTGTTAATTCTGAAAGATCCGTGAAGGAGCTCCAGGTGACTCACAAAACCGATGTGTTTGCATTCGGAGTGGTACTAGCAGAGCTGATCACAGGGCAACGTGCGCTTTTCCGTGACAATCGAGAGCCTGGGAAGATGAAATCCTTAATTACAGTCGTAAGTTTCAACCCGACTTGAACAAAGACTCTGCATGTCCCTGATCACTAGTAGTACAATACAAATTTGATTGATTTGCTACTCATTTTGTCAGATAAAAAAGGTGTTCCAAGATGATCATCCAGAAGCAGCTTTAGAGGCTGCCACAGATGGAAACCTCAGAAGCAACTATCCTATGGAGGACATGTTCAAGGTGATCTAATGTATACTGCTTGGCTCGTTACAGTTAAGGAGCCACTCCGCCCTAACTGCAAATCACAGATTGACACAACAAAACAAAAAGTTTCTGCACACGTGTCAAATTGTAATTTGTCAAAACATTTTTGATAAAAAATTTTGGAAGGAGGAAACGCTTCTTCCAAAAAATTTCGATTAAAGTGAGTAAAAACATTACTTTGGTTGCAGATGGCAGAAATTGCAGAGTGGTGTATGAGTGAAGAAGCAGTGGAGAGGCCAGAGATGAGGGAGATTGTTGTGATGCTCTCGCAGATTGCGACATCTTCGATCGAGTGGGAAGCAACACTGGGTGGCAACAGCCAGGTTTTCAGTGGTGTATTTCAATTCACTGGAAGATGATCCAAACCCTGTAAACCGCATTGGATTGAAGTTCATGATTTATCAAGTGAATTTCCAGATAGTTTGTTGTATTTCTCCCCCCCCCCCCCCCCCCCCCCCTCTTAAGACTAACGGACGGGAGATCTATGTAACCATGTTGTGTTATATTCTAGCTCGTTTGTACTTAATCGATATTTGGCATATAAGGTGGAAAAGTAAAAAAAAAAAACACTTGAAATGCTTCTTCTTATAGAAAGCACTTTAAGTACTTTTTCATATTGCATTTTTTCTAAGCATTAATCCCAAAAATATTTTCACCATAAACGCTTTTAGCCATTTTAAATACACTTCTAAACGAGCCTATATTCTAAAATACAACAAGACATTATAAACATATGAAAAAGGATGGTTGTTTGTATGTAAAACATCAATTTCCAAATTAATATTAGAAAGGGAAATCCTGAATGGTAATTGAATTGTACATTACCTTGGAGTTTAACATGAAACGGCGTCGTAGAGAAGAGAGAGACGCGGGTCTCTAACGTCCGGAAAAAGCAAAATATTCACCGCGAACACCTCCATTTCCAAAACTCAAGACTCCTTCCTCTTCTTCAGACTCTGAGAGAGATTGAAGATGGCGGTTGATGTTCCAACCGTAGTAGCAGACGGCGAACGGAACCCTAACGCCTAAATCCTAAAGCCTCAAGATTCAGATTGAGATCTATTACTACGCCAATCGACTCCGCTGCTATATCCGAATCAGATCGCATCCAGTTGCTGCAACCGCCGATCAGATCTCATGGCAGGGGCAGTCTCGGCGCTGTTCCTCCTAGACATCAAAGGCCGCGTTCTCATCTGGCGCGACTACCGCGGCGACGTCTCCGCCGCTCAAGCTGAGCGCTTCTTCACTAAGCTCATCGAGAAAGAGGTCCAATAAAGCTTCTTCTTACCCAAATTTACTCAATTTTCCCCGGATTATGCACTTTATGTTTCTTAGTTGTTTGAGGAACTGATTGGTTGCTGAGAAAACGAAACCAAATTGTCGTTTATTGATAAATTATTCCCTTTTTTTTATCAGTTGATTCCGAAATTAGTGAGGCCAATTTGGATTTCATCTGTTATGTTAGAGTAGAAATTGATACTGGCATTTTTTTTTCTTTTCGTGCTTGTTGCGATGCGGTTCAGGTTGATCCGGAGTCTCATGATCCAGTTGTTCATGATAATGGCGTGAGCTACTTGTTTATACAGCATAACAATGTTTACTTGATGGCTGCGTCCCGGCAGAACTGCAATGCCGCTAGTCTTCTTTTCTTTCTACACCGCATAGTCGATGTAAGCTCTATTGGTAATTATGATAAGTTTCGTTCCTCATTCGTCGTTGTTTGTTTATGCACCTATGAATTGCGTAATTAGTAAATTGATTATTGGACGGCAGGTGTTCAAGCATTACTTTGAAGAGTTAGAAGAGGAATCGCTCAGGGATAACTTTGTGGTTGTGGTAAGGAGATGTTTGTGCCATTCATTTTGCTTAATTTTGGTCGTGAAACATTGCGATTTGATGTTATTTTTTTGTCCTTTGTTTGAAGTATGAGTTGCTGGATGAAATGATGGACTTTGGTTACCCTCAGTATACTGAGGCCAAGATTCTCAGTGAATTTATCAAGACTGATGCTTACAGGATGGAAGTTACACAGAGACCTCCCATGGCTGTAACAAATGCAGTGTCTTGGCGAAGTGAAGGGATACGTTACAAGAAGAATGAGGTACGTGCATTAGGAAAAATGAAGACTTCTTATTCTTCTTTGATGCCGCTGGTTTTGATGCCACAACCAGTGGATGACTTGCCTTTCTTTTTTTTTTTTCAAGGTTTTCCTGGATGTGGTGGAGAGTGTTAATATACTTGTTAACAGCAATGGACAAATCATTAGGTCGGATGTTGTTGGTGCATTGAAGATGAGAACTTATTTGAGGTGTTTTTCCGTCCTAACCCAGTTAAATTTATATCTGTGCTTTAGCATTCTAACTTGTGCCTTTTTCACTGAATATGCTTTCCAAATACCAAGTGAAGTCCGTTTAAGATTTGCTAGCTTGTTGTTTGGTTTATGCTAGAGTTATAATTCATTCGTATAAAGAAACCATGTTTATGAGGACAATGGTATAAATCGTAGTTTCAATTTCTCTTGTTGAGTACTCTGTTTCGTGGAGGACACTAACTTGATTGAAGTCATAAACCAGTTCACAGAAAGATAAAACTAGGGTTTGGGGAAATTCTCTGAAGAACACAAGAGGGACTTAATTTCTATTTACATCTTAAGAGTGATCTAGAGTGATCTGTTTTATATGCTGATACCATCTGGCAACTAGTGCTTACTCATTTTGCTTGCAGTGGTATGCCCGAGTGTAAGCTGGGCTTAAATGATAGAGTGTTATTGGAGGCACAAGGCCGAGCAACAAAAGGAAAAGCCATTGATTTGGAAGACATCAAATTTCATCAGTATGTAGCTTTCCTTGATTTATCTGAGTGCTGCATTTGTGTCGTACAAGTGTTTGAGATTTTACATAAACTAATCTTCCTGCAAGTCCTTACATTAAATCATAAAATTTGTTTTAGGTGTGTCCGTTTGGCTCGGTTTGAAAATGACCGGACAATATCCTTTGTACCACCTGATGGAGCTTTTGATCTCATGACATATAGGCTGAGTACACAGGTATCCCTCATGCTCTGCTGATTCTGTTTTATTTTCTTTGTGTCTGCGGACGCATTTAGTGGTGAGGGGAGGTTTATTTACTGCTTACATCATTCCAATTAATTGTTGTCATTTTCCCTTTCAGGTTAAGCCTTTAATTTGGGTTGAATGTCAAATTGAAAGGCATTCAAAAAGTCGCATTGAGATTCTGGTAAAAGCTAGAAGTCAGTTCAAGGAGCGTAGGTATTGAAAAAGTTATTTGGTCAATTGCTTTGTGCTTTGGGCACCCAAATGTTTATTCCCTTAGTACTCATGAAAATTTAACTGCACAGCACTGCTACAAATGTTGAGATTGAGGTGCCTGTGGTATCTGATGCAACTAATCCAGATGTTCGGACATCATTAGGATCTGCAGCATATGCACCTGAAAGTGATGCGCTTATCTGGAAAATAAGATCTTTTCCTGGAGGCAAGGTGTGGACTCGTCTTATTGCTAGTCTAAGAAGACTATCTTGTTGTATCTTGTGCCGTGCACTTTAGCCCCTTTTATTGATCTTGTTTGTAATCCAAATTGCCTAGGAATACATGTTGAGAGCAGAGTTTCGCCTTCCAAGTGTAACGGCTGAAGAATCAACTCCTGAGAGAAAAGCTCCTATACGTGTGAAGTTCGAGATACCATATTTTACTGTTTCTGGAATACAGGTATTCCTTTATGGATTGATTGCTTTGCTCTATTTTGGGGACATTCCGATCTCTTTCTACCATAAACTTGTTAACAGTTATTTGAATGGCTTGTCTAATATTCAAACAATGGTGAAATGGTTTTAGGGCCTGATATGATGATATCCCAGAGCAACTATAGAATTTGTATTCCAGATGTCAACATGTTAAATAAGCCATCATAGAGCTAGGAATTTGTTGTGTGCGGTTTTCTTATAAGCAAATTCGGGTTTTGTAGGTTCGTTACCTCAAGATTATTGAAAAAAGCGGATACCAAGCTCTTCCATGGGTGAGATACATAACCATGGCCGGCGAGTATGAATTAAGACTAGTATAAAGTTGCCCCTGCACGGTGTCTTCTGGGGTGCAGCATTCACGTACGATCCTGAATGGTTCAAACCCAAAACTGATGGATAGATAGACCGGCTTTGATTGCCCGTTGCCTGCGATCAGTAGTGATCGCAGTTTGTTGAGAATGAATTATCTGGCCTTTGCTTTTGTGCATGTACAATGAAGGTTTATCCAACAATGTTGTATGTTTATCGTTACCGGAAGGTAGATTTATTCAGTACGTTGAAATAAGATTTTGTTATTTTGGTTTTGGATTCTGTCTGGCTGTCATTTTTCCTATTCAATTTTTGTTTGTTTGGGGACCTGTCCGAATTAGTACATATTTTTTTCTTATCTTTTCTCTCCTCAATTGAGATTCGTATTGAAACAGAGGCTCGTTTCCTACGCGTTGCCGTGTACTTGGATCGGTCTTGGAAAAACCTCACTTCTATTTAATTTTGATTTCATTTACTGACGTGGTTGCCTAGGTTTTAAGTATCAAATTTTGAAGTTTTAACGATAAGGCCAAAATAAAAGGGTTTGAAAACTGAATTTTAACGACAAAATAAAGAGTAAAGTAAATAATACCAGGATTGACTTTTTAGTGTAAAAATGTGGTTTTTCGTTAAAGTGAATAGTACCGAGAGTTTTTCGTTAAAGTTCCTTTTATTTTGATCGAGCCTCGCCCAGTTTCATCTGTTTTGCTGTGGTACATTGCTCTTATACAAACAAGGCTCTGGTACGTTGCTCTTATACAAACAAGACTTGTTTTCGCCGCATTTCAGATTATACCAAAGAAACCGAATTACAAATAGAAAATAATAACTCTGCGATGGTCTGTGATTGAGTACTAGATTAAACTAATTAATGACCATTAGTAACGGATTTGATAGTTGATAATCTCTCCAAGAACTTGTTAAACACGTCTTCCCCGCTCAGCATGCTAATCCTGACGTACCTCTGATCAACGCCAAAGCGCCTCCCTGTTCTTCCTTGCACCTTAATCTGTCCTCTCAGAACCTTCTCTGTGTCTACATCCTCATTGGCCTCCATCCATGCAAATGCTGCGCATTGTACAAAAGCATTCCCAACATTAGAAGAGCCAATTTAATAAATATCATAATTTCATCGATGGGGAAGTCTTGAATCGGAGAAACAGAAAGAATGAATAGGTATGAGATTAACTAGCCTCCTTAGTTGATGCGATTTCTGTTTTTTCAAGTATTGGATCACGAACTTTAAGTGGAACCTAACTCACGCTTTGTTTTATTATGTGATGATAAACACATGGGACGTCAGGAATTGGAATAATGCCACTATCCAAATTTCATTAAACACACGAAATTAAGAATCAGAATGATTTCAATACCCATTTTATGTGTTTAGTTAGTTACTTAGATATAAAAAGAGAGTAAAAATTATGATTTTACCTGGATATGGTTCAGTGGACTCTCCAGAGAAGATGCAGTACTTTTGGGGGTAGTTGGGTAGGCTGAAAATTACACTTTGCTCGACCACTTTTCTTAACCTCTCCCATCTGTCCGCCATGATTCGACGGCAATGGTCGAAGAAGAGCTCAGAGTTGTCAGTGGACTTGCAGTTTTCATAGTCGTCGCAGATCACTCCCATTATCTTAGCAGCTCGTTGCTGGGAATCCTTGGACACACCAAGTGAGCTTAGCTCTACAAACTTTGACATCTTTCTGGCAACCTCTTTGTCCTTCACAATGGCCCATCTGATAAAATACAAGGCCGAAATGAATAAAGTAACTTTTTTTCAAGTGTCAATAACAATTCTCGTTATGATTTATTATACATGGACTCACCCAATGCGAGAACCGGCATGTCCGGTGCTTTTGGAGAATGTAAAGTACATGATGTCATGATCGGCCGGACAAGTAATTGGAGTGTACTGAGGCCAATAGTAGGCCAGGTCATGAATGAGCTTCCCTTGATCACCCCTGTTCTTCACGATGGCCTCTCGGATAGTGCCGTCGGGGTTGTTTGGGGTGTTGACCACTTCAATGTAAGGTCCATGTCCAGTTTTGTTAAAGGTATATGCATCGCCTGCCCATTTATACAATGCAGAACGAATATAGTCTGTTTCATCCGGATATGACTGCAAACATTAAGTAAATATTTGACACAACTTAGTTAATAACGACCTGAAAATTTAAGTAAAAATCGAAGTTATATGGAGTTTAATAGAAGGAAAACAAGTAATTAATTAGAGCGTAGAGAATCCAAAAGTAAGGTTGGCTGGAAGTAACCTGGTTAGTAACAAACAAGACATGGCCATGTTACTATGTTTAATTTTCCAAGGGTTTCAAAACACAGGACTACGTGCATATGTTTGTTGCATGTTCCCAAACATGATTATGTTTCAAAAAGACATATTTGCCTCTTTGTCGCATTTCCCATGCAAAACATCAGCATGTTCCGCGACAGTCGTCTCGTAATTTCACCCCTCACAACTCAAAACACCTTCCGCAGAGTGCAGATCGAATACTACTACATTCGCAGCATGCCAAAGGAAAACTATGACATAAATATCTGTACTTAAGTTTTATTGATCCGTTAAACAATTTGATATGTTATGTTTAAATTACCGAGTCTAAATTATCTAATATACAACTGTTTGAAGTTATATATATATATATATATATTATGAAGTAAAACAATTAATATAAACTGAGTAATCCAAATTGATTGTCAACCGCTGAAGCAGCAATCTGTTGATCCTTTGGAGTTGACTTCACTAATTAACAAAGCCAAAATCAAGATCCACAGGTGATCAACAAAATACAGAAAATCAACGGCCGTAATTTCATCAGGGAAACTTTGCCAAATGTCAACGAGTAGAGAACCCTCACCGAGTAGTAAGGGGCGGCAGACACAACGCTGACGGGCTCGGGCCCGCCAGGAGAAGTGAGAGCATACAGGGCAGCCTGATACAGCTGAGTCGAGCCTGTCCCCACCACGATATGCCGATCACCGTCTACGACGGCGTTTCCAACCGTACGATGAAGTCTTCTGACCGCCGCCTCCAATGCTGGCTCCAAAAACCAGCACACGCTGGTGAAGTCGCTGATATAGCTCATCAATTCGCTTCCGGAGATCACCATCGTACATTTGTCCCCCATCTTCCTCCAATAGGATTCGTACACTGCCGGGTCGCCCCTGTCATCATCAAAACCGGAAACACCATTAATGTCGATTGCATGTTAACCTAATTAGTAAACTAACCAAAACGATCAGTTGTTGGAAAGATTCGCGGCCATTAAACGACACTAAATAACAAAATGTTACATCCTCTCTACTCCAAATAACGAAGCTAAAGAGAGCACTTACTGTTCGAGGTTGAGGACATGGTCGGATGGCGGTATCGTGCCGCCGTTACCATTGGCCGGGGACACAGAGGAGGTTTTGCTATTGGAAGTAGGGTTCTCCGTGGTGCCGCACATTGTCTCTGTTGCTCTAACAAAACACAGCTATTAATTTGTCTTGAGTTTTTGATGTGGCTCTATTCTCTCTCTCTCAAGTCTCAAAGTTGGGTCTCCTCGTCTGTGTTTATGTCCCTATTTATAGAACAAAATATGGAGAGGGTGTCTACATTCAGGGACACCGAGGTGCATGAACCCTAATTCCTATTTCTTTCTTTTTTTTTCTTTTTTCCTTCTATTTCGTTAAAAAAAATATAAAAAAAATAAAAAAACTGACCATACCAAGCATGCTCCGTCCCCTTTTAACATGGAAAATATAAGAACCTCCCAATAAATAGGAAAGAACTCTCAACAGCAATGACCGTAATTAAACAGTGATCTGTTAGAGGGTAAGATTTTCTGAGCGAATTACTTTCCAATTTTGTTTTTCGAATAAACGATTTTATTTTTTTTTAGCAATAACAAACGATATTATCTACACTAGCGAGGGGGTAAGTTTACCCCACAATAAGCTAACAATAGTGTGGTTCAAATTCGTTTTTGGAGAGAATCAAATCTAAGACCTTTTACTTACAAACAAGTGAACAGAAAGACCAGTAGACCGTATTACTAAATGTTAATTACTTTCCAATTTTGGAGGAATTTTTTTATGCGTCCATCTTATATTTTAAGTTTCCCGTTATAACGTTCAGGTACCAACCACACCAAACGGTGAAAACTTATTAACTTGATATTTTTTTAACTCACGGTAATATTTAAATTTAAATTTTATATTTTGTGAAATTGACGTTAATGATCACGATTATTCACTAAATATATGTACATGTGCAGATAGATGCCAGTATAAACAAATGTATTTAAATTTTAAACAAGTCTAATTGTTACAGATCGTTTCCAGAAAAATTGGTAAATTATAGTAGATGATCCATATATTAACAAGGCTGGTATAGAAATTTCAAAACTAAAACCTTGTAACATGTATAGGGGTTCATGCCACTTGAACCCTAAACTTATTATATATCATGTTAAGAAAAAAATCATGTGAAAACAAAAAATCTCAAATTATATATTGGTAGGAAGTACGATACCTTATCACCTCCACGATCTTAGAACTAAAGTGAAGTAGATCCAACAAATTAAATAGCTTCACCTTCATACATAGATCCAAAAGAGACGTAGTATATCCAAACAAAAATTGAAATGAAGTAACTCTTCTATAGAGGGCAATCAAATTAGCAAACTCCTCTAAAGAGGAAAATCAAAACCAAACTCTAAGACAATTCTTTGGAAATGATTAAACATAAACAAAATAAAAAGGATACCAGCTGTACGCATAGTGTTGAACTAACTCAATCTGATCGCGACACAATCCGACATCTTTCATGCTTTCAGCTTCAATCCTAAATCGAAGGTGAAAATTAAATGAAAATCTTGCGCTTACTGTGTGCGTGGGCTAAAAGACAACAACTATGTACAGTGACAACATTTTGCAGCTAGGTTTTTAAAACAAATAAATAAAAGGAATATTCATTGAAGTGGTCCTTAGCTATTTCGATTGTTTTAAATGACAAAGCAATTCTAGTGTCTTTGTTGATCGTGAATTAATTCCTTTGAATAGGAAAATTGTTGAAGTCCTTTTAAAACTAAAGGCATAGTAAAGGCTTAAATCGAGCCAGTTTCCCACTTGATACAGTCGCTCGATTAGAAGTCAAACATGTTTACTCGAAGTATCTAGTAGTCGCAATTTTTCAAAATCAATCATTTGATCTATTTAGAAAGTGAAAAAAAAGGTATCTTAGCGCATTTTCTTTGAGAGATGCAAAATGCCTTAAAATATGTATTTTATAATTTTTGGTAGTCGGAAAACTCTCTAATTAGAGAGATGTAAAATATCCATTTTGGCTGACAAGTATTGTAAATAAAAACTTAAGTTTACACCTTTTTTTACATCTTCTGATAACGGGTCTCGCAAATCAAAGAGAGAAATATAAATGGAATCTCAAATTTGCTTCCTTTTTATAAAGTAGAACTCTCATTTACATCTATCGAAAATATAAAATGAGATGTAAATGTGATTTTTACATCTCAAATTTACATATCCGCATTAAAATGCTCTAACACGTTTAGTTTACACAATAACACAAAACAAATTAATGCATCAGTTGTTTATTCGGTCGGCCGATCGACTTCGATTCTTGACTTCAAATCAATGCTTTCTAGTCAGATTTTGACTTAAGGATCACAACTGAAGCCACATAAATTATTAGTATTTTTAGATTCCTCTCTTTCATTGGGGTCAAACATTGTTCAAGATGTGTAGTTTAGTCGACCAAATAATAGTTTAATTCTGAACTGTGTTGTTCTTTTGGTTTGAACACTATATTATAACTGTTAATTAATTAGTTAACTTTGGTTTTATGCTTTACAATTATGGAGTGGAGGTTTAAGAAATGAGTTTTGGTCCCGACACATGCATTGCGTTGCATCAACAAAAACATGCATATTCCCATGTGCCACCATTGATGATGATGATGATGATGCTCATGCATGTGCTGATTTTACTTACTAAGAGCGAGCCTACGTTTAATCCTTGCTAATTAACTGCATGATTTCGTTAATGCAGTATTAATACATAATTGACAAATATATAAGGATTTCGAGGCTTTCCATCATCTTAGGGCTCGTTTGGAATTGCTTTCAAAATGATAGAAAAAACTTTTGGTGAAAATGTTTTTGGAATCAATCATTTGTAAAAACACAAGTGAATCCTAAAACAGCACTTGAACTAATGTTTCCTAGAAAAAGCACCAATTATTTTGAAAGCACTTTCAAACGATTACTTATTGTTGTTGTGGTAGAACACTTTTTAATAAATCCAATTATCTTGGGTATCACATTACAATATTGTAAAAGTATTGTAGCCTAATTCTCATTAAGAGGCGGACGATCAAATGCATGGTTAAAAGTAACAATGGTGTAAGGATTTGTAATTTTAAAGATGATTTTTTCCTATTTATAAAAGATGTGGACTTAACTGTTACATGTCGTAAACCACAAAATGCAGTGTGTGTTGAAAACGTTGGCATTGTTATGATATGAATGCCCACACACACACATTTTCAATGCCCATGCAAAGTGAAATTGAATTTGGAAATGCATGAAGATTGTATTGTCAAAGGAAGTGCTGTAAACTTCAATGTGCAGTTAATGCATTAGTTTGGAGTTGCTCTATAAATAGAGCGCTCCGTATACTTTCAATATACAGAAAGATAGAAAGATCGATAACATCATCTATTCCTCCCTCTTTTATTTGTCATCCCCTAGTGCTATAGTTTCAGTATGATATTTTACACATGTTTCGCTCCTGTCATTAGTAAAGGTTATCTCTCTAACTTTTACATATTTATAAGTGTGTAATTAATCATAAAATCTATTTATATCTCACTTGTCTCTTTATTTGGATATTCTTGAGAAACAAAACGGATTTGGGCCTTTACAAAACGGAGCATAAAGATGTATGGGCCTAGAAGGTGTCGTAGGTCTAGTTCAGCCCAAGTTTAATTTGTCCAAGCAAGCAATGCACGTATGATCCAGATTTGTTGGAGTAAGGGAAAGAGGAAGGATCTAATGTAGCAATCGAATTTTGGGTGTATAACTTAAATTATATACTCTGTTTCCCAAATACATCAACTCTGGAAAGACCAAAGAGGTCTGATGTACAAAGCTAAACCCTATAAATATCTCTCACCACACTACAACAAGGCTATTCAAATTGTACCAGCAGTCGGAGGGTGAGTGAAAAAATTCGAAAAATCGAAGGAAGAAGAAATAAACATATACATGAGGTCAGGGAAGGGGAACAAAGGCTACTGCTGGTGCTAATGAATAGCTTTCTTTGTTTTTGATTTTAGATTCTAATTCTGTAGTATATTGCGTGAGAGCAATGGAATGCTGAACTAATGGTGTGTTTCGTTCGGTAAAGTCTGCGGAGTTTTTCTAAACACATGCTTTCTGCAGCGTTCGAAAATGCTGTCGTATATCAGATCAAACTGAACTCCGGCTCTCTCCCGATTAATAATGAAGAATATGTGATCAGCTTCCACAATCTTATAGTACCTGCATTGTAATCAAGTTCCACATTTATTGTTTTGTTCAATGACAAACAATGAAGAATACGTAGTGATGGTCAATCGAGAAGTGTTTGTACTAACCAGATGCCAGGTTGCAAAGGATGACAATCTGAATCATCTTTTACAAACCGACTGGGATGTTCAACGGGGAGAAGAGGGCGAGTCATGGAGATGGTATTCAAAGCTCCATCATTGTCCTGCCAATCCTCATCCCTGCACACGAATTATTCACACAAGGATTGAGTCACGACAATGCAATTGAATTCGAGTATTCAATTACTTTTAACATGTGCTTAAGAACACACCTATAGCCTTTGTATGGGGGAGGGACATCCGGAGGGTGGCGCCATTGGCTCATTTGCAATACTCTAATGAAAAGCAATGGATGAATTCCGCATATGCTTGATGGAACTGTGACACCCAACACCTTCCTCGTTCGCTTAGATGTGACACCAAACCTGTGTTGGGAAAGGAATGGAGATGGTGTTGAGTAGGCAGAGCCTATGAAGTATGTGTTGGGGAAAGGAATGTAGATGCGCTGGTTGGAGGCAATCAACAGCCTTGAAAGTGTGACTAGGCTTAGTATCAATCAGTAGAAGCGAATGGCCTGGTTCCCAAGAGGCAATAAACAGACCCCTAAGCCCATTTCTTCATTCATGAATGGACCAAACATTTTGTTAAGAATTTCTCGGTTGTAAACCAACGAAATATTCACTCAGGGCATAACTGCGAAATATCTAAATTCCATGTTACCATTGCGAGTTAGTATTTAGCATAGATTCAAGATTATTATTAACAAATTTTCTGGTCGTTCTGTTTTTACCTTTTGTTTTGCATATGAAATTATGGGTTATTATAAATATAAAACAAAGGGAGACAAATATCCTGAGGTCACAAAAGACGATTCTTTCTATTGCTTTGCTCTTTTAGGCAGCCAATCATCGTATTGCATAAGTATGTGCATACGTATTTGCATTCGTCACACAGAGTTTATAGACAAAAGAATAAGATGATGAAATGGAAACTCACTGCATTCCATCCAAGTAGGTTCTTGTTGTTCCATTGAATGCTCCTGACAATGATGATATGCTCAATACCCAATTCTCATTTGTGTTCTCAAACCCTGACGCTGAATACAAACTCAAACGTTTCAATCAACAAAAATAAAATTTCGTCAAAGTAAAAAATGATTTTTCCTTGGCAAAGGTAAAGAGATTGGATGTTGTTTAAGGAATGTTCACTAAGAAAGCATTGTGACGAAAAATTTGAGTAGGGGTGCCTGACCACGTCATCCACAGGGTATACCTCTCACAAAAGCATGAGACCGTCTGTACTTTGATCCTGCTTGACCACTATTGGTCTTAGCGTGTGTGAGAGCTGCCCTCCCTACCCAAGTATCTCTCACTCGGAAGAAAAACTAGTCTAAAACCAATTCATATTCTTGACTATAGCATTAATTTTAGGATGCTAATTGGACTAACCTTATCAGCAAGCATTTGCTGCAGCACACGGCACCTGTGCTCCGGCAGAAATGCCGAAAAGTGAAGAGGTGATCCTCATCCCATTCAGGGAGTGCCGCTGCAATCAAACCAATCACAAATTAGCAATCAGAGACTCGCTATGAGCCTATGAGGCCTATTATTTCCGAAATTATTAAAAATTACAATCAAATGAACATGAGATTCGCGTCCTTATTCGTAACTCGACGAAAAGTGAAACAATTTGAGGTCCAGTAATCACTCGCCGCCTTCGTTGAGAAACATCAACCTAAACCAAAACATCCATAACTTGTTCTACCGCACCCTATGCGAATACGATTTATACATTCCCTAACTTCTGCAAAACCGATATCGGAACCAGTTACAAAGATGAACAAATTCGATTATCTCTTCTCGCCAGAAATGTCTCCATTTGCAAAAACAGAATAAACCCATTATACTTCCACAAAAATACTTAATCCACTACCCTGCAAAAAATTCCATGGACCAAAATAGGTGGAGCGGCCATTGCGGCGGTCTCTCTGGCCACCATCCTTACCTCAATGCTCAGTCCTTCGATTGCAATTGCTCGCGCCGCGACAGATCGCGGCAGGCGGTGCTGAAGATGTAAACCGTACAGCAAGTGACAGGCTGCTCACAAAAAGCTTCGAAAATGCAGGGCCCTCCATAGTCTTATCATTTTCTCCAACTTTCAACATCTAAACAGAGACTTCTTCCTCCTCGAGAACCAAAACCCAGAAGGCTCCTTGTTGCAGAAAACGAAAAGGTTCGAGCTTTTTTATATAAGCATGAAATTTGAAGGATTCATGAAGGTCCCCCTTCTATACAATTTCAATAGAAGGGGACAAATCCGAAAATCCAAAGTCTCTGAAACTTCGCGGTTCTTTGTTTTTGTATCAAACAAGAGGGAGAGGAATAAAAGGAGGTTAAAAAAAGAGGAAATGGTATAAGGATTAGTCTTTGTATGCTTTTGAGAAATTGGAAAAAAATGGAAAAAATTGGAAAAAAATGGGAGTTGGAACTGCAACCACAATTCTCTCGTTTCCCAACTATATGCGTCTCACGCGAGTCACAATCCTCTCAGCCAATCAAAGGGCCTTACCTGTTTAGTCCTTCTTTTGTGTGGTGTGAGTTCAGAGGCAGGAGGAGGGAAAGAGAGGGAGGCAAAAATGAGGAGAGCAACGTGTCTGGGAAAACTGCTCCAAGAAATTATAATAACTTGCAGGGGTAGGTCACGCTGGAGAAAATTTTCCACGTGTTTCATTTGTTATTATACAAATAATGAGATATGTATGATAAAAAGTTAATAAACTTAAAAATAAAATTTTTCATCACTCATATTAAAATATATGGTGTACTACTTGTGTTCCTGTCTCAACTAAAAATTTCTCGCTGAGTAAAATGATCAGCACTCAACAAACGTTGTTTTAGTTTATAATAAATAAACAGTAATCCAATTTAGATTCTTAGGGTTTGGGATAAGGATTTTGTATGTGTTAATTGTGGATGAAGGCAACAAACTTCTAGGCGTTTCTACAATGAAGGCAGATTGTCTACTCTCGTGTCATAGTGCCCTTCTTATTTTTTTTTTTATTTGTATGGTTATAGTTAAGTACGTCAAATTTTTATGTTTTCTGAAATGAAAAATAATAAAAATATAAAGTATTAATATGTTTTATAATGACAACAAATAAGAAAAAAATAAACAGAAGACAACCTGCTCTACAAGGTGTCCTCATAAACTTGAAGACTTTGAATAACCCGAAACAAGCCGACCAAAAAACAAAACGTCTTATTCAACATCCACAAGAACCCTATTTTCAATCACGACCGTTTCAAGAAAGGAGGAGGTTCAATACAAAAATAGGTTAGGCCAAGATGAGAATAGCAACATATATGGATTGATTTTATTTTGAACGTTACGGTTTAATAATATTATATTATAAAAAAAAACTTACACAAGTTATGTATTATTAAATCAAATATTGTCAAATTAGAATGTCACGTGATGCAAAATCCGTTATATGTTAGTTATTTTCATATATGAGACATGAAAAACTAGTTCTTTTATTTGGATCAATCATGAAAAATTTGTTGCATGTATGTTAGTTATTTTCATATATGCAAGCACACAGCTGCTAGCTACTAACAGTTTCAAACCTCTCATGGTATGGTCGGTTGTTCTTAATTTCTTACACGCGACCAATTGACTTCGCTTTTGCTAGTCATAGAAAAATTCCGATGATGTTGCTATGTTGTGTTTCATTGTTGAATGATTTGCATTTAATAGTACCAATTTAATGAGTGAGTAGTGAAGTCTGCATTTTATCATAATAAGGCATAAAATGATCCTGTGAAGGAATAATGTGAGATATTTTATCAAACGTATTGATGCTTAAATCAGTGAAGACTTGGTCACAAAAAGTGTCAGTTTGGACTTCGTTAGTTGCTTTCGATCCTAGTGTGGATTAAGTATGCAAATGGATAGGGAATGGAAGCACACAAGATGTATTGGTTCACCATCTTGGCTACGTCCCCCGGAGTAAGGTTCTCATTATTGGAGGGTTACATACATAGGTTCAAGCTTTCATTTTGTAGACTAGTGAATTGAATTTACAACAATGACCATTAGGAAATATTGTGAGATAATGATGCCTATTTTATAGAGAGAGTTTCTAGTTTCAGCTCTGACTTGAACGTGTCGTGTTGTGATTACTTCCTGATGTCGACACGTGTCGCGTCTAGTGATTGGCCTTCGTGGTTGGAGGGGAACTTCTACTGGATCCTTGCGACGGTATAACGTTGACCTGCTGGTAGTTCGAGTTAGTCAGCATTGAACATCAAAACAATGGTTTTCAACCCAAACGAACTTCACAGTCGGATGCAAGTGGTATACAATATAAAGAATACAAAGATATTGTGATCATGCTGCCCATTGGGATTTGAAAGTTTGTTAGGTCCATATATTTTTTCTTTGGGAAAAAATTTAGGCGTTATTATTTGTTTTTAGCTGTTTTTTTACCTTTTTTTGTTTTAATTTCTTCACTTTTTTGTACAAAATTTTATTCTCCTCAGTGATAAATAAAATGAATGCTTAGTGTCAGTAGGCATATAACAATGAAAAAGTGGAGTAATTGCTTTCAATTGGCGCCCTATATCGTGATGCCCTAATGATTAGGGTTAAATTTTGGTTATGACTTGGTGCAGATAAAATTAAGGGTTAGTAAAATACACAGATTCGATTCATATGGCTTATATTACATAATAATATTTTAAGCTATTTATTGTTAATTTATCTGAACTTAATTTTAAATAATTGACTTTTTTTTAAAATTCATAATACAATTAATGCCAGTTATACCAAAAGGATTTCAATCAAACTCTGAAGTTTAAGCGATTCCGTGCGGAGCAATCCCATGATGGATGTCATTGGTTTCGTGTGAGTTCCCAGAAACAAAACTCGTGAGGGTGTGGTCGAGTCACAGCAACAATCATCATGCTACGGTGGTGTCGAGCCCGGGATGTGGTGGGGGCCCGGGCCGGGATGTGACACTTTTGTTTATTAAAAAAATTATAAAAATATGGATTAAATGTATTTTCATACAACGCAAATTTTACTTTTTAGTCAGCTTCATCTAATGATTGTCACCAAAGTCTATGATACCAGTTAACTCTCTATTAAACAGAACTGAATAGATATGAGGTGACATATAATTTCACACAACTAAATTTTTTTCTGTTTTTTTAAGCTAACATTTAATCCTAAATATTACTAATTAAAAAAAAAAAAAAAAAAAAACCGTCTTCACTCCCAGCATTCTCTATCACTCCTCCTCCTATTTCAAAAGCGCGGTAAGGGATGGTGTCCGGTGTCCGCACGTTTTGCAAAACGTGGTGGGGTTTTGATGAATGGCCCATGCAAATTTATTGTTTTTTTCTTTCTTTTAAAAAGGGGATAAATGTTATTTAATACTATTATTTAGTGATATTTTTCTTCATTTGTAAATGAAATGTCTTTAATATTTTATTTCAAGAGAGCATTTAAAAACTAAGAAGCTAAGAGTTAAGTAATCATATAAAAAAAGGAAACTGGTTGCTTTGTTATGTATTACTTTTCAAAACTGAAAGATCAATCAGAATTTAAAAATATCACGAAAAAAGGAATCGATCTAACCATGTTGTAATTAATTGTTAAAGTGGAAGAAATTTTAAGATTTCACCATGTTCTTTAACGAAAAACACTTTTCACTAAAGTCAATCATGGTACTATTCACTTTACGCTTTATTTTGTCTTTATCTTTAAAACTCAAAGTTTTCAAGTTCTTTTAATTAGTTTTTCTTAAAATTTATTATCTATTACTGAGCCACAACGTGATGGCTTATGCAAATTCCTTGTCGGCTGTAACTGGATAAATAAATAAAAAAGACAAACAAGTTGGCCCCCGGGGCAACTAGAAGCTGCCAGCGGGAGTAATCCCAGCCCCAAATAATAAATAATAATCCCCACCATTATCATAGAAACGGGGAGTTTGTCGAGCGGTAGTCCATCCTGCGCTGTTGCTAGTTGTACAAGGGGAGACTCGTGGCATGGTTTGATGATGAGTGCCACTGTGGTTTTGGATAATTGATGACTTATACGCCACTAAAAATAAAATGTTAGAAATATTATATTTTTATATAACATTTGTGTATCATTTGATATGATAAATTGATGTGTACATATCAGGTTAATAATAAATTTAGCCGATTTAATGTTAGTTATATACATCACTTGCCACATGGTACAATAATGTAATTAAAAAATGTGATCTTTCTAGTATTACTCACCATCAAAAATTGCTTATCATAACTTCGCCTTTTGCTGTGGTACTTACCACAAGTTTTATATTACATTTGTACTACCTCTCTAATAGAAATAAAACTGAACAAAATAAGTAGATCCTACCTCTATTAAAAGGATCACACAAACGTGATATGAAAAATATGGTAATGGAATATTTTAATACGTAAATGGTCCCATATTAACTATTTGTTAAGCAAGAACACATGAATTGGATGGACTAAACATAGTTCCGGTTTCATGTTTGGCAGCTAAACTAAATTTTGTATTGGATTAAACGACTAATAATTCACTAAGTAATTAATAAAAATGTTTAAACAAAATTGTGAAATGCAAAAAAAAAGAAAAAAAAGGATAACTGTAAACTACCAGAAACGAATGCGACAAGACGAATACGTTTGCTTTGATGATAGGCTGGCCACGTGAAAGTCCAGCGCCAAATCTGAAAGTCGGAAAGCAAAGGCCAAATATTTGGTCAGCAGAATCTCCGCTATTCCGAAAACTTCTAGTGCATCATTTGCCAATTGCCACATTAATCACATGACGTAATTGATGATTAAAAACTGCTAATCTAAATTTTCAAAACGTCGTCGTTCTAGAAGTGGAGATTCTAGATTGTAAAGTAGGCCCAACCCCAAAACCGAACTCTCTCAAAATTACTGGGAGGGCACTCCGCACTCCTCGTTTTTTCTTCTTCTACATTTATTCCATTGTTTCCGTCTCTTGATTTCATTTTATTTTTCCAATCCAAAGGTTGAAAACAATAGAAAGGAGTACCGTAACAGAACAAACGGAGATTGCGAGAATCAGTTTCGTTTCAAAAGCATCATCATTCGAGTGCGAAAATCAATTTCCTTTCAAGAGCATCATCATTCGAGAGTGAAGATTCTGAAATTAATAACGCTACTTAGACGCACATGCTGAAATTCTATAATACAAGTGTTTTTCCACATATAATAGGACACATTTCTATTAAAAAGTGTGCACGAAAGAGTGTCGTTTTGTGCGTCTAAATAATTCAGTTCAGTCTTACTGGCCCAAAACTTCCTAACCTTATGGCAATTTTCATTGGGCTTTAAGCTAGCAGGCCCAAATTACATTCTCAGCCCAAAAATTCCCTCCCCCATCGATTTTCATTTGCGGCAAAAACCCCTCGATCACTCTCTTCCTCTCTCGCAAAACCCTAGTTCCAGAGATCTAATGGCGCTGCAACAGTTCGGGCGGACGAAGAGCGTGACGAAGCGGTCGAGCAAGTACTTGGAGGAGGCTCTATACCTGAGGCTGTTCAAAGACGGCGGCTCCGAGGTGAGCGTTCGGCAGCAGCTCAATGAAGTCCTCAAGGGCCGAAAGCGAGTTTACAAATGGGAGGTCGGCGACACTCTCAAGAAGCTTCGCGAACGCAAGCTTTACTACCCTGCTCTCAAGGTCCGTAATCCCAAAATCCCAACATTTGTTATTGGTTACGGATTTTGCTGCGTATTTTTTACACAAAAGTTGCTCAATTTATGATCGCAGAGAGCAGTATTTATAGCTGATTGATTTGTTGAATTTATGCCGAGCTTAGAGGTAGGATTTGATGGATTATTATTTAATGTGTATGATTTTGAAAACTTAGTAAAATGGTTGAAATTATTTATTGTAGTTTTGATGATTTTGCTCGAAAATGTTGCATATTTTTTGTATTGAGAGGTTAGAATGTATGGTTGTTTGTCGAATCGCCAATGTGAACTTACGCTTATATGTATTTTACATGTATTATGGCTATTCTTTGTATGTTTTTCTTAGGGGTGAATTGTTCTTGATAGATGCCAATTTGAATTGATTTGTTATATCCAGCTCGAGATTAGTATTCCGTGTGGATTTCATACAATCTTTTTTCTAGTCTCTTTTCAGAAAGATATTGGATAAGATAAAGCTTGATCCTTCAACATTTTTCTTTGTTGCCTTTTTATGTTTCTTGTTTTCCCTGTTATAATTTGAACTGCAAGACTAGACGTAGATGCTAAAGCTGTTTAACATTACAGCTCTCGGAAGCTATGGATAGAAGAGGAATGAACAAGACAGTCAGTGATCAGGCAATACATCTTGATCTTGTTGCTAAAGTCCGGGGTATTCCTGCTGCAGAAAGTTATTTCATTGATCTTCCTGAGTCAGCAAAGACCCATCTTTGTTACGGGGCCCTGCTCAACTGTTACTGTAAGGAATTGATGACTGAAAAAGCTGAAGCCCTTATAGAAAAGATGAAGGCTCTTAACCTACCTTTAACCTCCATGCCTTATAACAGCCTTATGACCCTTTACACAAAAACTGGAAAGCCGGATAAGATCCCAGCCATTGTACAAGAAATGAAGGCCTGTAATGTCATGCTCGATTCCTATTCATACAATGTCTGGATGCGGGCACTGGCTGCTGTTAATGATATTTCTGGGGCTGAAAGGGTTATTGATGAGATGAAGAGGGATGGTCGAGTTGCCAGTGATTGGACCACGTATAGCAACTTAGCTTCAATTTTTGTTGAAGCTGGCATGTTTGAGAAGGCAGAAAATGCGCTTAAAGAATTGGAGAAGAAAAATTTGTGCCGAGATCTTTCGGCTTTCCAATTCCTCATTACATTGTATGGTAAAACAGGGAACCTGCGTGAAATTTATCGGGTATGGCGTTCCTTGAGGCTGGCTTTCCCTAAAACTGCAAATATCAGCTATCTGAATATGATCCAGGTGTTGGTCAACTTGAATGATGTCCCAGGTGCAGAGAAAACTTTCAGAGAATGGGAATGCCAGTGCTCAACCTATGATATTCGGGTAGCAAATGTTTTGATTGGAGCTTATGCTGAACAGGGTATGCTAGAGAAGGCCAAGGAACTCAAGGAGCTGGCCCGCAGGAGAGGAGCCAAGCCTAATGCAAAAACCTGGGAGATCTTTCTGGATTATTATCTGAAGTCTGGAGAATATCAATTGGCGGTTGATTGTGTTGCCAATGCAATATCCATTGGTAGGGGGGATGGTAGGAAGTGGAGTCCATCACATAAAATTGTCAAAACTTTGATGGAGAATTTCGAGCAAGAGAAGGATGTTGATGGTGCAGAAGGTTTTCTGGAGATTCTGAAGAAGTCCGTAGAATCCTTAGGGCTTGAGGTGTTTGAATCATTGATCAGAACTTATGCTGCTGCTGGAAGGACAAGTCCTGCTATGCGTGCTCGTTTGAAAATGGAGAAATTGGAGGTGAGTGAAGCCAGTGAAAAGTTGCTCGAGGCCGTATGTGTGGAATGAGATTTGGTTATCTTCCCATATATGTATTTTCTTCAGAGATTCTATTTCTAGAAAACGAGTTTCCTTGTTCTTGCTTAGGGGTTTATGTTCTGATAATAAAACGTTCCTTTGTGCACCATAACAAGCAATCATATGATTATTGTTGTAGTTTTGATGCTGAATTCAATTCTCGACTTATTCTGCGTTGCACCATTTAACAGTATTCAGTTCTGAGAAGAACCAGGATCCCTTTGATCTCTCATCCAAGCCCACCATCCAGATTATTAAGTCGAACCATGTTCCACCCAAGAAGCCCAACTTCTAGTAGGGACACATCGACCACTACATGTGCATCTCTAATAAAAACATGTAATTTTTGTTGTATTTTTGTCTAACTCGAACTTATGTTTGTCACACGTTATGTGATAGATATGTTAATTGGATTGTCTTACCGAAGTTTCTTCTGTGAAACGAACACTTAGTCACCACTCGCAAGAGAGTATTGGATAGGATTGTCTCATGCATCAACTTACTCACGTAATGGGTGAGCTCTTGTACACTTGTCCAAACGATAGCTCACCATTATGAGTAAATGCCGCATGATACATTCGTGTTCGATGAAAAATTCTACTATGTAGACGGGTGCAAACTCACAAGGGAGTGAAACCCTTTGTCACCCCACTCGGCCCCCACCATTGAGTGAGACGAAGACTTGGCCTACCAAAACTTTCTCCACACCACATGTACAGTTAGTGAGAGCTCCATTAAAACGTAATGGAAGACCAGGCATTCCATTTGAATAATCTTTTCGAAAGTCAATGCTCTTAACAGTCAACCACTGAGAGAGCGAGAGAGAGAGAGAGAGAGAGAGAGAGAGAGAGAGAGAGAGAGAGAGAGAGAGAGAGAGAGTTATATATATATGGAATACGACTTCAATTCATGCAACATCATGGCATGTGAATGTGATGTTCATGTGCTCATCTCATCAGTCATGTCGATAATCCACATTCCATGCATTCTCTGGTTTAAATTACAGGTCAACAGATTTGACTTTTCCCTTATTCCACTAACCACCGACTTGGCTTCCAAGTCAGATTCTCTTTTTATCTCTTTTCTATTCCTCACTTGTTGCTCTGCTACAAAATAAGAGAGACTTCAAGGCATCCCTTTGTATCATTTCACTGCTGCGACAGTGGAGGATACATGAATTTTTCTTTTCAAAGCAAAATGGAACTCGCGAACTCGCACGTCATTTTACTTAGGTGCTCCTGACCTTTTAGTTTACTTCAACCTCTTTCGGACATCTTTTTAGACGTCTTATCTCTTTAACAATCATGCTCAAATATATGATCAAAAGAACATTAGATAATATATCCAATATACACTAACCCTAATACTAGACGACTCGTTTCCATTGGAAGGAATCTGGTTTGCATGATAGTGTCGACACCTTTTTTATATAGCATCAAGCTTAATTATGACTAATAAGAAATAAAGTAAACTTTAAGAAAAAGACTGAATCCCAAATCATGCATGGAGGAGGCATCGTCGACATTTTCATGTGGGAACACGAAACAAGGACTCAGAAATATGCTTAACATTGGTACTGTATGTCAATAATTAATATGTTATATAAATAGTTTTGGGGTTCTAGGTAATTAAATACATTATTGTATAGTTTAATGATTTTGTGTGCGTGTGTGTGAAACAGTGTCATTGTCTTCAAAGGCAAGGAACCCAACGTATAATCCTTGGGTACAGCTTCGGCTTCACAGTTGTAACCTTCGGCACGCATGGGATGGGACACCAACTTGTAATTATCCTTAATTAACAAAAAAAGTTTAGTTAATCTTATATATTATTATGCTTTAAGCACTGGACCACATGGTAATGATATATAGCTATAGACTATAAGGTTTTTTTTTTATGCAAAATAAACTAGATAGGGTGTTTAAGGCTACACTATTTTATTATTTTGGGTTTTTGAAACATTTTCCACTCAATAACGTTTACTTTTCTTTTGAACCAATTATGATTTTTTTTTTGCTTCTAAAAAGGAGATCAGTGGGTGGATTGACTAAGACAGTTTACCTTTTTGAGAGTCGAAAAGACTCTCAAGACGTGCTGTGTTTGAATACGGACTTGAAATTCATCTCTATCACTGGACCATCCTATGACGGTTGACCAATTATGATTGTTGGGAGAATGTAATTTTCAATGGGAAGCGATTTATATGATTTTTCGCATTCTACATGCATTTAACTCTTTTTTGATTTGGTCAATCTGATGGCTAAAAAAATCCAAAATAAGTGAAAATTAATTGCGCAAAAATATACACAATTTCGCATATACAACATAGGTGAAAACAAATCACAAAAGAATGAAAAATGACAAGCCATAGTATATTCACTATTTTTTTTTTTTGTTGCCCAAAATTTACATAGAAGTCCCTAAGGGTGGTATAATGAATAAATCACCAGTCAGCTGGGAGAAAAAGAAAGAGGGATTAACAAAGGAAGACAAATACAAGAATACCCAAACTGAACTGCCGATGGATTAACCCAAAATCACCCAAGAAAAAAGAAAATTGAAAAATTGAATATTATGTAAATATAAAACCCTAGCTGTATACCTTTCCCTTAGGGACACCTCACATTTCTTCCAGGACCTCCATAGTAAAAATAATTCCCCCAAACGTTGTTAATCCCCCCTTGAATGTCATAGCAATTTGGATGATCAGCCAAAACTTTGAGGTTGGATAATGGGATTAAGCTATTATCCCAATCCACAACCTGCATGTTTCGAAAATATGAAGCTTTTCCAAACCCTTCACCTGCAAAGTGCCCACTGCCCATCTGTGTGGCTGTGTGGGAGCCTGAAGGCCTCGAGTTCACAACTTCTCCACCAAATTGTACCATGCTTGCGTGGTTTTGAAGGTGAGTGAACAAGAATGATGGCCAGTATCCGACTAGGACTCCGTTCCCGAATTCCAGCCACCAATTTCCATGCTTTGGATCCTACAATATGCACAAGTAATTAGCGTTACTATAAGTTTTTACTTTCTTCTTCTTCACCAGTGTGACTCACCCATGAAAACTAGTTAGTTGGTTCGTGAAACTAATACATTTTTTAATTATTATTCGAGCGATATTGAGGAGGGGAAATTAAACAGACAACTTAGGTACTTAAACACTTTAGCTACAACGGACTTGCATGCATGGTGATTACAAAAGCAAATGGGAAGTGAGTAAAATGGATAAAGTAAAACCAAGTTTATTGTACTATGTCACATTGAGGAGTCAAAATAAGGAAAACCTTGAAAAGAAAAAGCAAATGATGGAAGAGCCAAGGAGCTCTTTCTCTAGTGAAAAAAAAGAAGGGAATCTAGCAAAGCAGAAAGCACGAGGAATTTACAGCCCATTATTTTGGAATTTACCACTGCAGCAGGCACGCCTGCGGATAATTTTTTATTTTTATTTCTGGTGTTAGGGTTTTCTTTATTTTTATCATTTCTGGATAAATTGTTTGTTGTTGCAGTTCAGGCTTTTGGCTAAGGTTATTTAACATGGCAATCCTCTAGCACATGGGACACTGCTAAATCTGTGGAGGGCCTAATACCGACCATCGGATTTGCAGACTTTTTGAACTTTTCCTGATTTGGGAAACTATACAAATCGCTCGGTCAAAGTGTCATCCATCACCAAATAACTATCCTGTATAGTATTTACCTTCCAGGTATATAGGGACCTAGAACATTCTTGGCTATGGGTCCTTAAGCACCTAACTTTGCATGCACAAAAATGGACCGATAAGGTGCGAGTATGATTCTCTCCCCTCCTAATCTCTCTCTTCTTATCTTCCCTCCTATTTAAACGGTTAAGATTGAGCTATATCAACATCTTGTTTTGAATTTTTTGTAGGGAAGAAGACAAAAACAAAAGTATGAGAGGAGGGGAGGGAAGATAAGGAAAATAAGAGGGGAGAGAATCCTGCATAACTTTTTTATCGAGTGAGAAAACGATATATATTCATTGAAATCAAATAAGGTGACATAACTAAAAACCTGTAGATCACTACTATTTCCATGCCAGATTTACTAGGGTTTTTTTATTGGGGGGGGGGGGTGTGGACCTGGTATGAAAAGAAAAGTTTACCTTCCAAATTAACAAGCTAATATCAAATTGTCCTCCATGGTAGGAAGAAGTTGGAGAAATTGCAGCTCCAATGGCAATTCTACTATTGGTCTGAACAAATCCAGAACACAGTAAATTGTAGCATCCAGTTGCTTGATATGCATCCGTCTGCAAAATAAATAATAAAATAATAATAATTATTATGGTCTGTAATTATTATTATTACATCTTACTCATTATCAGTATTATTATATCTTATGCTTGTCGTCGAAGGCAAGGTGATTTTGTATACTTACAGTCCAATAAGTAAAGAATCTAGGGTAGTTGTCCCCATACAGCTCTGGACTGACCTGCACAAAATTAAATGAATTTAGCCCCCCCCCCCCCCATTAATGTTATAGATTACAATGCAGAAGAACAAGATGAAGACGACGACTCAAAGGATAGAGGTAGTTGAGCTGTGTTCACTGCCTTAAATGTCAAAATGATTGATTTGTACTAAATGTGTTGAAATTCAAATACTCTGCCACCATCGTATTGCGCCTTACACCGTATCTTTCATGGTTTAAATCACTCTTAAACTTGTAATCCTACATAAATAAATAAAGTCGGAGAGACACTCAACATGCAATAAAGACCGTAAATATGGATATATAGTCAATTTATTGTCTGCTTAGTGTCAGTCGGTTGTATTTTCTATTAAAAATTTGTAATCGGTTCTATCTGTGCATGTTTCGAGAATCCTAGCCCTACAAGTTCAATAATTAAACAGAGAAAGAGAGAGATTTCAAGGTTAATTAGAGGGGAAGTTTAGTGATGAAAGATAAACATGCCTGCCAACCAGCTTCAATGGTGTTGAGGTCATCACCAAATGAACCAGAGATGACCCACATCTGAGACAAGCTGAATTCATATTGATTAACAACTTTGGGGGCCCACACATTGATACTAGCTTTGGCTCCATAGTATTGGTCTCCACTCACATACCCAACTGCATGCTGCAAACCCAATTATCACAAAACATAAACCACAATCAGTGCACAATTACTTAATTTAATCTTCACTAATTCGATTTTTCATGTATTTTGTTAGAAAAAACATTCTGCAGGGCATGGAAACATGGTGGAGTTGCAAGTTCCTTGGGAATTAGTGCAACTCCAAGCAGCAAAAGCAAGCAGCCGTGAAAGTCTTTAATTACTTCTAATGGAAACTGGAAACTCAACTGAGAAAACATTGCTGGAAAAAAATAGTAGATCACCTACATTGGTCTCAAATATATATATAAAAAAAGAGAGGATGACTTAATTGAAAAAATTAGTAAAAAAGCAGTTTTTGTAGCTACACTCTTTCATTCATTTATTTAATTAAGTCTGATAAATTACTAATTGACTGAAATTAATTAAATTAAAATGATAGTGACTCTTCGGAGACAAATTCTGAGAATTCCTTTGTTTCTTGTTTGTACAATTTACAAGCACTAACCTCATGGCCATTACTGGATGTATCTCTTCTGACATGCCTTCTTAGTTTTCTTCCAAATCTTCTAACAGAGCTGGCTCTCATCATATCTTCCTCTCTTGTTCTTCTAATTGGAAGTGTTCCTTCTGGGCAGAGATTTCCTGACATGCTCCACAGCTGGTAATTTTCAGCGGCCATTCCTGGAGGGTTTTGGCCTTTCGGTCTCTCCGGCGGATCCTAAAAAATTCAAGTAAAAAACGTTATCGACGTATCAAGACTTTTCCTTTGCCGGCTCGTCAGCTCATGACCAGTTTGATAACCATTTCGTTTTTTAAGTTTTTAGTTTTCATTTTTTATTTTTTGTGCAATGTTTGACAAAAAAAATGAAAACTAAAAACTTTAAACGAAATAGTTATCATACTGCCAGTTAGAGTTACATTTTCTAAGAACCTTGAGAAAATTTGTATTCGCTCAAGGAAGAACTAAGTACCAATGGCTTCTGTCCTTTTAACTGGGGATGATCGAAAGCTGGTTGGTGATGAGAGAGAACACAATCTATAAGATCGCCATCCGGACTCTGCAGAAGCAACAAACAAAACCCAACAAATTAAATACAAAAAAAAAAAAAAAAAACAAAACAGAGCAAGAACAGAGGGAAAACAGAGCAAAATTAAAGACAAAATGCCTGAAATGTCTTGAGAGCAGGCTTGTTGATCTTGTTAAGACGAGCTCTTATAATCTTCAACCTTTTCAATTCTTGCTCCGGCTTCAATGTCTGATTGGCGGCGGTTTCACGGCGGATATCGGAAGATTGTGCTACCGGACACATTGAAGAAGCAACAAGAAGGAAGCAAATAACAATGGGAATGATTGGGGAAATCTTGGAGTAGCTACAAGCCATATTGCTTGAGAAGTTTTCTTGTTTTTTTGCTTTTGTTGAATCCTCTTGTTGTTGTTGTTGTTGGTATTGTCTTCTTCTGTAGTCATGATATTTGCAGTGTAAAATATTGGTGCTATTTTTTGTCCATGGAAGCTCAGCTCCCACCAAATCCAGTATCCAATACATGGTGACCATATTCTAAGAAGAAAACCTACTCACCCCCTCACCATTTCCAAGGATTTTGAACCCTAAAAAAATATGGGAAAAACTTGCTTCTATTCTTCTTCTTCTCTCTCTCTCTCTCCTCTCTGTTTCTCTCTCTACAGGTCTAGAGAGGTTAAATTGAGCTTCTGGGCACAAGCTGATTAAAAAAAAGAAGCAAATGGGTTGTGTTTTCTTAAAGTTTTGGCCATGTGGATGTGGAGTTATAAATACTGGATAGTGATGAAATCATGCTCAAATTTTAAAATTTGGAAAATAAAATAAAATAGAAAAAGAAGAGAGAGAGAGAGAGAGAGAGAGAGAGAGAGAGAGAGGGGTTATTGTGTGTAGCGTGTGTTTCCAGTCTCCAATACAAAGACTGAAACTTTAGCTTTTGTGTTAATTTTATAGGGGAAAACGGGACTGATTTCTGCTGTTCTTTACTTGTTGGCCCAAGGGATAGATGGGAATTACACTCGAGTCTGGGTATCAAAAGTTCTTTGCTTTGGCTGGTCCCTTTCTCCCCTCCCTAGATGTTCTTTCTGTCAGCTGTGCTAGGTTTATATTATGGATGTTACTATTCACACGCATTGTTTACCCCTTACACACTGCTCTTAATTGGGTTATCAGACTGAAAGCATTAAAGAAGATCAATGGACATAATTAACAATGGTGCATGAAAAGTAAAAGTGTTATGTAAATAACAATACATATCATTTTATCTCCTACTTTTTAATTAGTGCTAGAACGTCACAATCACATTGTTTCGCATTTCACTAATACATCGGTTAAACTATGAGTGGATGACATAGTTAATACAATTTAATTAAAATACATTATATAACAAATAGATAGATAATATCATATGTCGATACGATAATCATGTTGAAAAATTTTAATCGTTAACATACTAAAAAACAACACTCTAATTTTTGTAGTGTATTATTTTTTGGTGTCATTTTATTTCTCAGGGATTGGATATTAGAATACTTTGTGTTGATTTAATATTTAATTATAGCATCCCTTAATCTAAATGGGATTTCATCTGAGAACAATGCACCTTTTGAAGCTGTCGTTTTATGCGAGGTATTAGCGAAATGGTCTGGATGCGTCATATTGTGTTCGGCATGCTGAGTCGGCAGTTGGCATGCGTACCTGGTTATGTGCAGTCATTGCATGCTTCTTCACTCACCCATGCATTTCATTATCGTTAAACTGCGTTTAGTGGCTCAATCTTGATTTTGTGTTTGGTTAATTACCTCAAGAGATCGGCTATTATTCCCACTGTTTATTACTTATTACTGGCCTAAAGGGTTTGTTAGTAGATTCTTACCATGTTAATTGTATAAAAACCTTATTTCTTTGTGAAGAACAATATAAAAGATACTCTACAACGAAAAAATGGATTCAGAGAAATACATTGTTCTAATCAACTGGATTAAACATAGGGTTCGAGGGTTCGTTTGTAACTGCTTTTAAAACGGCTGTAAGCGTTGTTTCTAAAAATATTTTTGGAATCAATGTTTTGTAGAAATGCAAGTGAATCCTGAAAAAGTATTTGAACTACTAATTTTAAAAATAAAAACGGTTTCAATCATTTTAAAAATACTTCCAAACAAATCCTAAGTCTTTAAGTTACACATATAAAGAGATTGGTGTTCCTTTAAAAGAAGTTGCAATTATTGCCCCAAAAAGAAGGCTCACATCCCATGTTCTTACTCTTCATTTGGTTTTATTTTTGTTTCAAATTTATTATCCAAAGCTACAACTTCTAAAAGACAAGACATAAAAAATAAGATAGAGAAATGCTATGGAGACTTTCTCAAATAGGGACTCTTCATGGACTCTCTACCATCCCACGTTTTAACGTTAATTCCCGTACCAATATTATAAAACAATGTGCAAAAAACATGACTGACAGAGAGTAAAAAAAAAATCTCACTTTTGAAAGAGTCTTCGTAGCATTTCTCAATAAGATAACCATAGGAGTGATCAACATTCAACGCAGGGAGACATGATTTATAAATGCCATCATTAGGGAAAAATATCAGCAAGGTGCCAATGAGATCTTGTCATCAAAAGCCCCAATTCATTTCGTTTCCACATTCAAATTGATATTAACTTGTCTCGACAGTAGATTCTGTTCAAGCTGTGGAATATTTAGTAATGGATAGAGGCCACGATGCATGGCTTGGTCAAATGCACAAATAACATCATTGTCAGTGATCGCAAATAAATTGGACTCTTATGTTAATTTCACTTAGTTCCTTCTAATTGATTTCTACTCAATTATTAAATAGATATTTAAGGAAAACTAATGAAAAATGCTTGAAAACTTTGAGTTATAATGATAAGGACAAAATAAAGAGTAAAGTGAATAGTACCAAGATTGACTTTTTAGTGTAAAAATGTTATTTTTCATTAAAATGAACAGTACCGGATGCTTTTCGTTAAAGTTCCCTATTATTTATCTTGTTTTATCGAGCATATTACGTAAGTCTCAAATAAACTTTTTGCGGCTCCAAAGGAGGGGGAAAAACCTTAAAAGAAAAAAAAAACCTAGCGGCCGACCCCTTGATATTGAAATTGGAGTCGGTGGCCCCAATCCTTGCTCTATTTCCTCTCTTTCTTTCTCTATTTTCAGTTGTGGTCATTCTCTCGTTGAGGAGAGCCTTCATGGTTGTAAGCACTTTCTTGCTTTGTTGATGATATTTTTTTTATGATTGTGGTTATGGTAATGACTATTTGCTCAATGTCACATCCTAGAGGCAATATTCGTTGTTCATATATGAGGTGGTGATTTTTTTAATTTGTGCGCATAACAAAGGACTATGACAAGGATACTCGACCTTTTTTTGAGGTAACTTCTTTGTCAACAATTGCAAAATCAATAGAATTGGTGGTGCGGCTTTTTCGACAGTAATGGTCATTCCTCTGAGAACCAAAGAGTGTGTCTCGTCACCTCCAATAACGTCCGAGGTTTAGAGTGTGCCTCACCCTTAACAATGTAAGAAAAACATCCTCCTCCTTACCGACGGTGTCATGCATGATTTTCGTACACTGCTCAAGGGCATTTTACATATTAATTACTCGTTGTCACTGGGGCATGTCAATTTTGTGTGCAGTACTACAGCTCTGGATGAGGACCTGATTACCATATAGAATCTGATATTGGTATTAGTGTATGAACAAGTGATACATGGATGCCGTTATAAAGGAGACACGAGATTGCAAGAGTACAGTAGTATACCAAAAAAGTTTCCTAAACTATTGATATATATATATATATATATATATATAAGGAAACTAATGAAAAGTTCAAAAAAAAATTTAGTTTTAATGAAAAATGACAAATAAAGGTGTAGTGAATAGTATTAGAGAAAGGTAAAAATGTGGGTTTTCATAAAAAATGAACAGTACCGAGAGTGTTTCGTTAAAACTCATATATATATATATATATGTAATCTTTGACTAAGTAATTAAAAACCACAGTATGACGATTGCAAGAGTACAGCAGTATACCAAAAAGGTTTCCTAAACTATTGCTATATATATGTAATCTTTGACTAAGTAGAAAACTTCATTTTAATCCTTAGCAAAGATGATTTTTAGATTAAAACCATGAGTAAGATCAAAATCTAATTTTAGTTCATTGATACATTAATAACCTCATTTATTAATTATATTTTGATTTTTTAATTATTTCTCTTTTTCTTCCTAATTTTGAATGTATTGATTTTATTTCATTATAATTTTCATTTTCATTTTATTTATCGTAATATATTTTATTGTAAACATTTAGATAAATTAATTTTTGTTATACAATATATTCGATGTACTTTGTCTTCTTCATTTAGGTACATTAAATTCATTATAATACATCTTGGTACATACATTTAGGTACACACATTTCCGTACATACATTTCAATACAAACATTTAGGTACATTAATTCAATATAATGTATTTCGGTACTAACATTTCAGTGCATACATTTCGGTACACATATTTAGGTACATTAATTTAATAAAATACATTTCCGTGCATATATTTTGGTATATACATTTCGATACTAACATTTAAATACATTAGTTCATATAATACATTTCGGTACACACATTTCGGTATTAACATTTTCGTACATTAATTGAGTCTTTCAAGTTTGACGAATGTTAAATAAAATAAAATAAATTAAAAAACTCTTTTTTGGTAAAAAAATAAATTAAAATTTGTATATTAATAAATTTAAATATTTAATGGGAGACATTAAATAAAATGCACACTAATTATTTTGAATTAAGGACACATCAAGGGATTATAATCAACATGTCATCTAACACCAAGTTTATTTTAAATTTCAATCTTCTTAAAGGATTAAAGATAAAAAAAAAAACCTAATTAAAAACTACAATATGAATTACAACAATTAAGGGACCAAAATTAGTCCTAATTGTTGAAAGTATCAATCTCATATCAAAGAAATGAGGAACATTGCATGTGTTTATAAATAATTGGTGGGCTTGTTCGTCTAGAGGAATTTCCGATGGGGACGTTTCCTGGCCGACGAGCACACAGCTCCCCAAGAGGTTGGCGCCGGTTGATATTGTCTGTCAGGCTTCTGCTTATTGGCGGGCTGTAAGAGAATGACAGAGTTAATTCTGAAAGGTGCCTTTGTGGGGCCTTAGGTGTAGGCCTTGATGCTCACAATCAAAATTAACTTTAGGTGTTCAGGCGTGCTACTGCCATCTTTAGCATGACAAATGTAAAACAAATGTTTAGTTTAATTGTATATGCCCGAGAGACCAAGTTAGCTATGAAATGTGCCTTTGTAGGGCCTTACGTGTATGCCTTGAGGCTCGCAATCAAAACTAACCAAGTACTCGAACATATAGTGGTTGGTTCATTGTTGCAGAAGTATTACAACTGTTATATTTTAATCACCCGAGCCCGAAGAGCAGAACGAACCCAGATAGGTGCCTTTGTAGGGCCTTAAGTATAGGCCTTGAGGCTTCCCATTAGAATTAATTCTATACTCAAGCGTTATGTGGCAATCATAATATAACAGCAATAAAACTAAGAAATAGGTTGATTACTTGCGCCCCAAGTAACTTCGGATTTCTTGTTATCAAGGATTGTCGTGGATGGGTTAAGTCCACATAAAGTTCTTTTTTATGCCTTGAGACCAATGACTTTTGATTTATAAACCTTGTATGCCTGAAAGGTTAGAACTTAGATCTGGTCAAGCTATGAGTGCGGATTCCAACTTTATCTTTTGCATGGTTAGGCACCATTAAACCGACCAGATCCAAAAACCAAAAAGCCTTTTAATCATAAACTTGCTAGAAATAACTTGGATACAGATGGAAGTATACATCATATTACTAGATT